AAAATTTGATTGTCTCGCCCATTGTGCGTATGACCCAACAAATCTAATGAGAACAAAAAGCAAGCAGAAAAATATTATGAGCTTAGTATAGCACATAAAAGAAAATTGCCAGTATAGCACATAATATGATGCATATGTGACGTACAGCTCCAATATAGTTGGAACAAGCCTTGGTAAGGCTGCTTTCAACTGTGTTCGTGTAATAAGACCAACCATCTGACCCAATGCTTCCACAGCAGATACGCGAACCTGTAATGGGAAAAGAAAAGAAAAAGAACAAACAGAAATCATCTCATCAGTTGAGGCAATGGGAAGATAAAGAATCTTCCTAAGTTACTATCTCGTCATTAATGAAATGATTAATAAATAAAGAAGACTGCCAAAAAATGCTTTCATGGACAGGCTATTAGTGAAAACAATGAAAAGGATCGTGATGAATAAATTTCAGAAAATGTTATAATTATAGAGAAGCCAGTGAACTTCCCAACCCCCTCTAAATCTGAATTTGTGTAGATCTTATGTGGGTTGAGCTTGTTGCCATTATTTTTTTGACAAAATCATTGCATACCAAAAAAATTATACAGTGAAGCAGGTTACTATTAAATGTTGAGTCACAGTGTATTATTGCACAACTAGCAGAAAATTTCTGAACTGATTGCAGCTGCTTTGATCAGTACTACTACTTCCCATTAGATGAAAAGTGAATAAAGATCCCAAGTTAAACAATTTTGATGTGTGCTTAAGTATCGTGAACATACTGTCTCAATCACTTCTTCCGCACATAAACCAAAAGGGTCTCTCTTGATTCAAAGTTCAAAGACTTGTTAGGAGTGTGCCCAATGCCAAAGCTCCCACACATTGACATTGGGGAGTCTAGGGAACAGCATATCTGGGCCACCATTTCCTTGATTTTGGCAAGGAGGTGGATTTGAATTTTGAACCCTAGACCTCCAAGGCACAAGGGAAGAGACCTTACAAATTGTGTCAGACCCGCCCTTCCGTCTAAACTCTAAAGACTTGTTGAAAATTAATAAGCATCCTAACTAAATAAATATGAATATGTAGAAGGTAATTTGTGTCCAGTCACTATTTTCAACCCATAAACCAAAAGGATCTCTCTTGATCTGAACTCTGAAGTCCAAAGACTTGGTGGAATTATCTTGACCACCTTTTCCCTTTATTTTTGCATGGAAGTGGATTCAAACCGTGGACCCCCAAGACACAAGGGAAAAAACTTCACCCAGTGTGTCAAGCCCGCCCCTCATTCCAAAGACTCATTGCAAAATTATTAAAATCTCAAATAAATGAAAAGGAGTTTGTAGATGACTAGACAGTAACTTGTGAAGCTGAAAAATGGAAGACTATATTCTGTCAACCTTGAGATCCCGTGACATTGCCCAAACCCTTAGTAGGAGCTCAAAGGCAGAATTAAGAAAAGACCTGAAAATTTGAAGCAACTATGAGCCAAAGGATCCAAAAAATTATGCAATAAGCCAAAAATTGCAGCAGACGCAAATTAGTCTCACACAACATCAGCATCAAGCACTGGTGACAAGGAGAAATCCACACTATATTGCCAGCATGCCTGGCACCAGCATTTAAGCGCTGGAAAAAGATCAATATTCATAGTTATTTCAAGTGAAATGTGTGAGGCATGCATGGGTTAACTCATGAGAATAATGCTGCATTCCAACTTGATTATCTAACTAAAATGGTAGGCAATGTGAGTTCCAAAATTTCAATAATCTGGACAGCCTGATTTCACGTTGTTTAAGAAAAGTGTTGAGAAATAAAAAATGAGTGGTTGAAATTTTTTAGAAGAAAGAGAAGAACTGCAAACCACATATCTTTTACACTTTTTGGAAAGTAAAGAAGGGTGTAAATTTTTAGGAAAAACTTAAAAAGGAAAGTGTATCCATAAATTAGGGACGAATAGAGTATTTAACATTTCATTAGCATCCCATTTCATGGTTCTAGCCCATGATTGTAGGACAAGGGTAAAATTAATAAATATTTATGAGTGTGCAAAACTTGCAAGAGATCCACTATGAGCTTCTATTAAGATTGGTTTCACAAAACCAACACAATAAGCTATTCAGATGTAAATCAAAAAACAAATAGGAGTAAAAAGCTACCATTTGAAAAGATTGGTCGGTATATGTCTTTCACATTCCCAAGAATGGGTACTACTCTAGCAAGAACACCCTTTAATCGTGGAGTGAACTGCAAAGCTTCAAAAACAATATATATGGCATCAGCTACTATAGTCAAACGATCCGTACCACACAAGGTAAAAGTCTCTGGCCCACATCATCCCCCCCCCCACCAATCTCAAAAAGGAAAAATCAGTCCACAGTATTACAAAACGGAAGTGCTAAACACAACCGACCATCAGATGATGCATAGTCTGCGAGTATTTGAACCATAGCGGGAAGAGCTGAATTTGAACCAGTGAGGTGAAAAAATACTTCTTCCATCATCTGCCGTGTGTGAATGAGAAAACATCAAAAGGTCAATTAAGTCACACATAAAAAAAGAATAAGAAAATGATTAGATGGGATAGAAAAATGAATGAAAAAAGAAGGAGAACACTTTTGCAGTTTGCTTTGCTCTTAAAGAACTTGAAGCAATAGTCACAAAACAACCAAAGAAAGAATGAGAAAATGAGCGCTATATATCATGCTCCCACCGTCCCATAAGGGAGAGCTATTTCTAAACTTATTTTTGTCCCAAATAAGTTCAATATAAACAAATGAAGCTAATTTTCATCATATTTAATATTTTCTATAAATAAGGTGTCTGAAACAAGTTGAATATCTTAGTCAAAGCACTAAACAGACAAACAAAATTAAAAATATAGTTATACTCCGTATTTGATTATTTCCAATAGTTGTGCATTACTAAAAGATAAAGGTTGTGCATTTGTGAACCCGGGCTCTTTTTATGGGACGAGTGATTTATCAGTTTCATTTCATAAAGAAGACAAACAAAAGGAATGTACATTTATAGTAAGAATTCATAGAGGAGACAGTATGGCATCCATCAAAGGCGGTGGCCTTTGGGAGTTGGGAGTAGAAAAAATCCATGAGAGAAGGAGGGAGATTTACCAGATCAGGAAGATGGGATCCTACAGATACAAGGACACCAGCTGCAGCCTTTTGCCAATCGGAACTCAGTTCCTATGAGATAAAAGGGAAGTGTACATTGTAGCTTGACTTAAATTATTGATATCACAAGGGTTCCACATTGCACTCCAAAGATCTCGCTAAACTGTAGAAGACTAGTGTTTGGCATACCTTTGTTGATATAACCTCAGCTGTCGCAATCTTGGCAAGCTTCATCATGAAAGCAGGATCAACATCTTGCTTATCCAATGCACGAATCGCCACAGATATTACTTGAAACAAACCAGCTATATTCCCAAACCTCTAGATTCCCAAAAAAAACACTTCACAACTTCAAGTAATGCACACAACTATGGGAACAGAGAGTGGACCACATTGTGACTTAGGGAACAAACAATCAAAACTAAAGGGCAGTACCCGTCGTCCACCTCTTGAAACAGTTAGGCAGCAATCAAGGACCAGTAGTGGGTTCCTAATAAGAAATGCAACTAACAATGATAAAAAAAATGGATTCTCTGAAGAAGGAGCATAAATATACTTTCAAGTTAAAAAATTGAGCAATTCAATATGCTTCCGTTTCAAACAGTACACACACACACACACATATGAGCAAAAAGATATAGAGAGAGTATACAGTGATGTGAGATCATTGAGAGCAGACATGGAGGCTTCTCTGACTCTGGGAGAGTCATCAGCTAGAGACGAGACCATAACTTGAACTGCCTCTGGAAAACAAAAATCAACCAACAACATCATAAATAATAAAAATGAACTAAAAATAGGATTAAAAGGCACGCAATTGCAATAAACGAATGCGCGGTGAAATTCATTTTTTTCGCCGGCGGTAGTGATTCACCTGAAGCAGGTATCGAGTTCCCGGAGCTGGAAGCAGCCATGAATTGGAAGGGGCAGAAGTCAGATAGATCGCCGGAGAAGAAGGGAGCGACAAAAGCTCAGAAGAATTAAAATTTAAATTTAAATTTAAAAATAAATAAATTATGAAAGAGTGAATAAATAAATCAAGAGAAAAGGGACGAAAGAGAGACAGCTCATTTGTGCAATTCTGCGTGGCAAAACGATAATTTCTCGTGTCTACTGCCGTTTTTCAGGCTTTTACTCCGTACCTTTTTTTATGTATTTTTTTATTAGTCATAATTTGATAAAATAATATATTTATATCACATTTTAATTTGTAAAATTTTTAGCATTATATCTAAATATATAGGTATTAGTTTATATTTTAAAACAATATTTAATTAAATAAACTAGTTTTAAAAAATCAATCTAACATCTTAATTTTAGATAAACGTATCATAAATCTTAAGAAGTAAATTTCCTATCACTCAAAATAGAAAAAGTTTGTAAAGTTTGCTTTACTCATTCTCAAACTTCACTTGTTCCATTGTGTTAATGAAGTTATTCAAAAAAAATGTTGTAATGGAGAATAACACAACATATAAAAGAAAAACAATTACGTGAGTATATGCTTAAAAGTTATCTCCACTCATTCTCAAACTTCACTTGTTCCATTGTGTTAATGAAGTTATTCAAAAAAAATGTTGTAATGGAGAATAACACAACATATAAAAGAAAAACAATTACGTGAGTATATGCTTAAAAGTTATCTGGCAAATAAAGAAATAATATGAACCACAAATTTCTATTCTTAAAAGAAATAGGAACAAAGAGTATAAATTATTATACATTTTATGTCAATCCCTATACTAGATTACATATCTTGGTCAGAAACAATAAAGTTAAAGATTTTTTTAAGTAATTTAATTAAGCAATTAACGTTAAAAGGTTCGGGAGCTTTGAAAAAAAAAAAAAGTAAAAAGTCATGCAAAATTAGTACGCAAAATAATTTAAAATAAGCAATTTAAAAGAAAGCACTAAGCAACTTAAAGTGAGCAATCAACTTAAATTTCTATGCCAAACACCAAGTTCTAGTCTAGACTCCGTGATTAAGTTTAGAAAGTATGAAAAAATACTACATTGTAAAAGGCAGAAATTAAGGTTTCAAACTCACACTAAAAAATTAAGATTCTTTTAAGAAACAGAGTCTATATCTGAAGCAAGTGACATCTCCATAACTGTTTATGCAAACAATAACATAAGTGGAGCTCATCAACCCATGTTGGGCGGTGGCGGGGGCGGCCGGTGGATTCCCTGACCGAGATACCCTTGTGGAGGGTGCTGCATCATGGGAGGCCTCCCCATCATATTGCCTGGAATGAAATTCGGCATAGGGCCACCACCGACCGGAGGAGGTGGAGGGGCAGGCATATTGCCACCTGGAGGCATGGGTCTAGGTCCATTAGCCATGGGCGGAGGCGGGACTGACCCAGGCGCGGTGGGTGGGCCCCGGGGTGGTGGAGCTCCGGGGGGATGTCCTTGTGGTGGTGGAGGTGGCGGCGGTGGAGCTTGAGCTGGCGGAGCAGGAGGAGCTTCAGTCCCATTGGCAGTAGGAGGAGGTTGAGGTTTATTTGCTTCCGGTGGCTTTGTCTTGAAGTGTAATTGCAACTAAAAATTAAACTCACTTACATTAGAGAGTTTACTAATTAGCCTACTAACGGGCAAGATGATAAAGCAAGGTTCAATCAAATTGGCGTGCACCGGGAACTTACAGTGAACATCTTTGTGTCTGGATCCCAATGTGAGAAGAATTTTGGAGTTGATTTGTCAATCTCTATGCTAGGAACCTAGAACAAATATATGAGAGATTAAGAGAAAGAGCCAATCATTTACATAGAACAAAACAAAGATAATCACAAAGTAAACAAAATTCAGCAATGCAACGGGAGAGTTACCTTAAAGGCAATGATCTCATATGGTTCTGCAGCAAACAGAAGAAACTGATATCTTTTGTCGAATGGCTGGATTTTCTGCCAAATAAAAAACAACAAAAAATCATGTTAGACAGATGCAAAGAAGTCTTTGCATGTACAAGATCAAATTATCAGTTCGATACAAACCTGCTCAAAGGAGGACATAAATCGATGCCTTGGCTTTGTATTGTCTTCAATCTCAGGATATTCAATCTGCATCAACCACCAAAACCATCAAACTACTTAAGATTCTTCCAAGAGTAAATATGAAGAAAAAACAACCAAAAACGGGGAAACAAACCAGCAAAAAAACATTTGTTCAAGCCTTAAAGGTACATTTGTTAAAAGAAGGTGGTTATTACCAACAGCAGGCTCCTTAGATCGCAAATACCAAGAGACAGTTATCTGTAAAGAGTTTTCACTTTTCAGTATCCCGTCTTAGCAGGCTTCACTTGACAAGAAATTCATTACTTTAGGAAAATTTTTAGTGCTAGTATACCAACTAACATGTAACGCTCAATATCCAGGTGTTTCTCTTAGACCATGCTCCATAAGTTACAATGTGATCATAAATGGTTGCTAGCACCAGGGTGCTCCTAATAATTTTTCCTTGTTTGTTGAAAGTGTTGACCCTTGTGTTTTGATAATGACAACCATGCATATGGGATGAGCTTTGGATTTGGATCTTTTCATGTGGATTGCCTAGCACGTTGCTTAGAGATTCAAGACAAGATTTGAAGATTAAAGGTTTTCTAGATTTTTATTTCTTTTGAGTCTTAGTTCATGTTAAAGTGTTTGGCACATCCTTATTCTTCAAATACTTTGTTTTTCCTACAAGAATTTCTCTTTGATTGTTTTCAAAACTCTTTCTCAAAAACTTTTCTTCAAAAATGTTTCTTCCCAGGTTTTTATTCGAATATATATCAATTTATTCGAATAAAATGGACTTCTGCAGATTGCAGTTCAGTCTGTTTTAATCGAACAAATGTTTGTTTTATTTGAATAAGGGCTGATTCCAGTTTTTCCAAAGTTTTGAAAACTAATCGAATAAATGACTATTTATTCGAATAAGTTGGCTTCCAGTTTTGCAGTTCGTTCTGTTTTATTCAAATAAATCCAGTAATTATTCGAATAAGCCCTGTGTTTTCAAAAATCATATTTTATCCAAACTATTCGAATAAATTGTGTTTTATTCGAATAAATCGGCAGTTTTTACAGATTAACGGACACTTTTTGAATCTTTTTGGAAGTTACTTTATCCCTATCTCTATTTATTCAATCATATCTCGTTTTTCAACATAGAAGAACACCCAAGAACACTTTCAATAACATTCCTTTGATAAAACAAAGAGATTCATTCAAGTCCTCATCTTCCTACTCAATATTCAAGTTCTTCATTTGAGAAATCTTTCTTCATCTTGAGTTGGAAAGTTTTTTGTGTGCCATACACTATAAGTTTGGTTGTAATCTACAGCATATCCGCTCTTGTTCGAAGAGTCTATTCCGCTGTGCACTTTGGTTTGTAAGTTTTTAAATTGTAAAAACTTGAATTTGAAATAATTCAAGTTTTGGATTGAAATCCAAAGTCTTGTGAAATCAAGACTTCGGTGGAAAGGTTGGAGGCTTGTGAAATCAAGTTCTCGAGTTGTATTCGGATTGTCAAACTCCGTTAAGTTTGACAAAGTTAGTGGAATCTCGGGCACGTTTGCTTCGGGGACTGGATGTAGGCATTAGGCCGAACCAGGATACATCGTGTGTTGCTCCTTCTCTTCATCTTTGTGTTATTGTGGTTGGTATACTCCTGCGAATTTTTGTTCTTCCAAAAGTTCTTGATTTTTGAAGAACACCTCTATTCACCCCCCCCCCTCTAGAGGTGCGTAAGTTGTTCAACAGAAAGGCACTTGTATGGAAGATTTTTTAATTGCAACATACCCAGTAAAGTACATGTTTGTCAATTTAATATGAAATTGTGAAAAAACAACCCCCTTCCAAGCTTTGGTAAGGCATACTCCATAGTTAACAGCAAAGAAACACATTTACTGATAAAATAAGTTTTTAAAATGTTTCCCAATGCCACTGTGTTTTTGTTATGGAGCCTAGCAAGACCAACTGCAAGAAAACATCTAATGTCCACAGCCATGTATTAATAGGATGAAAATATAGTCCATACTACATTTTTTAAAAGGAGACTAGTCAGACCTGGAAAAGAAGAGATCGTTGCTTTGTATCTGCATCAAACTGCTTTGTCACCCGATAGCCAGGCCTGCCAATTTTCACTGCAACACACAGCCACATTTCCAAATAAGGTATCCAGCAAATGAAAAAATAAATTTCAATCTAGTAGATTAACAAAAAATCATTTTCAACATAACCAATTTTCCTCTCAGGAAAGAACAACCCAGATTTAGGTCCGGTGTGAGTTCTATTTAAATTTTCATTTGTGTACTGCAAGCAATAATGCTCATAAATTTTCATTGAAGTTATTGTAATTTTACAACAATACACTCTCCAGCATGTCAACCATGATAAATTAAGTTAAACGATTGAACATTATAAGATTTGTAACGTACAAGACTTGAAATTGTGTACCTTATCAAAATTACTCTAAAAAGTAAGGAATGTGTATGAAATACTGCAATATGACCTCTTGTTTGGAATTAGGCTACATTAAAATCCCTATGAATCCAAATCCCATACTATGAAGTCAATTGAACTGACAACCCCATTCAAACTGTTTCAAACGTAGTGAAAATTCTGCAAGCTGTGCATCAGCACTGACCCTTAGAGAAAAGGTATAAGGATGAACACTTACACAGCAATTAACAATGAATAAACAAAAAATACATCCATGTGAAAGATCAGCCTGATCATCCAAACCCTAATCGCTAGCCTCTAACTTTTATTATCCGAAGATATCATTGATATAATAGAATAAAATCCTCAACGAAAAAGAAAGGAAACACAAATTGCAATTGAAGAAACATATACGAAGTATTTAAAACCTGTCTTTTTGAGCGAGATTTTGCGTTTGTGAGGCTGCGGCTGAGCAGGCGCCTCTTTGGCTTCGCGAGCAGCCCGCTTGGCCAAATTGGTCTGGTGGCGCTTCCCTTGAGTATGGGCCAAGTAGTTTCCCTCATTGTTGTGAAGCGTCAAGCAGAGCTTACACTCGTAGCTCCCGAGGTGGTTTCGCATAAAATATGGATCTTTCGCGAGATCAATCGTCTCTAGGGCTAATCTTCGAAGCCGTTCGCGGCGGTCTATGGCCTCGTTCTGAGCGGAGGCGGCTCCTCCGCTCCCCGGCTTCGAACCCCACTCTCGATCCATGGCCACACAGCTCCTTCTTTTCCTACTCTTGAAAAAATATTGTAAGCTTGAGAAGTAGAAGATGTTATTGAAAAGGGCGGAATTTATGAGAATGCCGTCCTGTATATAACAATGAATCACGCTAGGTGCGTCCGTTCTACTAGACACAAAAAAAGACCCTTTCAATCAAATAACAAAATGTCACTCTTTGTGACCTTAATTCAAAAATTTAATAAAAATATTAAAATTAATGATCTGATGTTAAGCTGTCGTCGAAGCGAGATGATGATTTTCGAAAGGGCAAAACGATGTCATTTGAATACCCAACCAATCCTTAACCCTCGACCAATCTTCGGAAACGATACGCCTTCTCCCCTCGAAAATGTTCTCTTTTTCGTTGTTTTGGCTGATTCCGGTGTTGTCTACCCTGGTATATTGCATATTGTCATCAAATACATTCAATTACTACCACACTTTTGTTTACCATGGAGAACATCGATGCAAATAGCCTAGTCCAGTACAAAAGAAAAAGAACCCTCACCCAATTAAACACAAAGAGAGGAGATCGAGAATGCAAACCAGATATTTTCAGATATCTCTCACTTAAAATTATCTGATTTTGGTTTAAAATTTTGAACTATTTAGGCTTGGTGTCAAATTTCCGCTGGGTAACTTAATCTCTGAGAGGTGTGTCGTTCCCGAGCACTTCCGAAATTGAGGTGCATTGCATGTACACTAAAATATAATATTTGAAGTTTTTTTGTTTGAGAGTGAATAATTCAAATACACAACAAGTCATTCGAGCATGACAATCATCAATATAATGTTACAGTAATAGATTATAGTTGAATGCATTCGAATACGTTTTTTGATTAGTTCTCATTTTTTTTGGATTCTAGCATTGAATTGCATCTTTGAAATGGAAAAATTACCTGGAATGAAATTGACTTTGAAATCTCCTTTGAAAGAGTTATAGAATCTGATTAGTGATGGACTTGGAGAGCATCGAGAAGCTCTTATTTTGTTTAGGGCGAATACTCTTTTTGCACATTTTGGAAGTTGAGTGTATCCCTCCCCTTTGTTTTTAGAGCAACTCACATGGGTAGTCTATACTGTAAAATATACACTATATACAATTTAATGTTACCTTTTCAACATTCCAATGGATAGGGTAAATCAAGTGGTAAAATGCAATGTAGTGTAAAAAACAATATCTAAAGTGTATTTTTACAAGTTCATTATAGATAGTGGAAAAAATGAAAAATTAATTTTCTTCATCTTTTTCCTTCTCTCTTCTCCATTTTCATATATACAAAGTATTTATTAAGTCTTTTTTAAAAAATCATTAAAAATAAGTAACTTAAAACAACAAAATATTATAAAAAATGTATTATATAGAAGATGTGGTTGCAATAACTATAAAAAAAATGGAAATGTAAAACACTATTGATAGTGTAAAATGAAATTTACATTATCAATTTTTACACTACACCTTGGAGATGCTCTTACTAGAACCAACGTAGACCCCAATGTAATTAATTAAAGGAATAATGCTAGAGTCACAAAATAATTAAATAAATTTTTCATTTATGCATTTTCTCAAGTGAATAAAATGATTTTAAAAAATAAAAAACCAAGAATTTAAATACAAAATTGACAAGATTATATAATTAATTTATATCCAATTTATATGTGATTCTAACATTACTCTTGCATGAATTGAATTAAATTGTGTGTTAGTTAGTGTATAAATATGTATAAATTAAAAAATGTGTGTGTAGATAAAAATAATCAAGTATACAATATTACTTTTATTGTGATTGTCTAATACAATAAATAAATTAAAGAGAATAAGTGAATAATTGGGAAAGGTATGGAATTGAATTCATGAACTTGCATAAATTAAGATAAGTGCATGTGAATTGAATTATGTGTTAATTTTTAATTTTAAGAAGACGATTTCCATTTATTGGGAAAGCAAGCAAGCAATGTGTGTTATGGCCAAGATCAACACTTTTCTCCCCTCCAAAGAATATGTGAGGATGAAAAAAATTCAAAAAAAGGAGTAATATATGAGCCACAACACTTTCAATTTAAAAGAGTAAAAAACCACAGTACTCGTGTAAGCAATTCCACCATGACATAATACAATATATATCCCTTAACAATACTAACAAGTCACTACAATCAAAATAGATGAACAAAATTGTAAGAAATCACCAAAATTACATGCTATTTTGGAAGCTCATAAGTCAAGATTGAACTGTTTGAATTTGATCTCCACCCTCCAAAAATTTCAACTCGGTCGAACAATATTTGGACCTCAAGTCGGTAAAAAAATTAAACATACGTCAACAAACCAGTGCTATGGAGTAAAAATGGGCTTGAGAATTACTCACCAAAATTGGGCCTTCAAATTAAAATGGACACATAGTTGGGAGCTCAAAACCCAACAAATCTCTCTATCCCTACTATGTGGAGGATGTTGCCAAACCGGCAATCAAACACTAAGTTTTAAATTTCTCCTTTGACATGCAACGCTTTCGTTATCATGTCAAAACCATTATCATATCTAATAATTTAAGATCAAGCACATTTGAATCCACGGGACTCGATCTCATCCTTGTGTTGGGCTTCCGCTATTTCTAGGACCATTCGAGTCTATTGTAGATCCGATATCCAATACAAGCTCCTTAGTTTCTCAGTGACATGTCACTCGGAAACTAATGATGAGCCGCCCTGGTTCCCAGTGTCGAATCGGAAACGTCACCACTCCATTTTCTCAACCTTTGTAGCGTAACAACTATATATCCCAATTTGGTCTCCCCTTCTTTCTTATGTGGCTTCTTGATCTTGACCCGAGCTGCTACATTTCCACACACTTCATCTTCGATTCTCTGAAATGCTCTTCAATATGTCTCACAATACCACCGATCATGAAAGTACTTTGTAGTCGAGTTCTCAGACCATAGCCCTTTGGACCTTCCTGTCAAGATGCTCCGTTCGAGCTTGACTTGGAAAACCTCCTCTAACTCATCCCAGGTCGTCAAAGATTTTAGGGAGATGAAAGGGAATTTGTACCATCTGGCGGGGTTCTACTTCCCTGAGAATCACATTATCGTCCCTGGCTTTAAGGAAAAATCTTCCGCTGCTGCCGGGTGAAATCTAGGAGTTCTTTTCCCGAGACCCCCAAATGCATGTCCTTCCAATGCTAGAAAGGTAACACTCCAAAATCGGCGTAGTGTTTTTAATTAAATTTTATATAATTTAATTACTATGTCATCCAGTGCAAGTATTATTTTATAAATCTTCTTCTAATGTGAAGATTTATTCCAAATTTTAGAGCACGTTGTTCTGAATGCATAACACTAACACATCGTTCATCGGACATAAAAATTATGTATTAATAATCTATATGTTAAGACGAATCAAACAAGGTCACACATGACTATATTTAGGCTTACACATTGAGAGAATTTGATGAGTCAAAGTACTTAGATGAACCGTTCCAAAAGTCAAAAGTGGACAAACACTCCACCATACAACGGATGAATCACGTAATTGGACCTTAAGTTATCCTAATTGGACTAGGATTTGTAAATGGGACCTTAAATATATTTAATTATAAATTAAACACGCACATCCTCTTTCTCAATCCGTTTCTTCTCCCCGTACGTTTCTTCAACCTAATTCTTCCCCGGCCGCAGCCGTCGCTCCTCGTCGTCTCTCTCACCCTCTCTCTTCTCAGCTGGTAAGCGCGCCAGGCCGACGGGAAACAGAGGAAGTGCAACGGCAATTCATTCTCCTTCGATTCAAGGTGATTCATTGTCTCTAGACCTAACGATAGATTCAATTCATAGATTAGGATTGTGTTGTATGATCTCTTTCAATTAACTATGGGATTTGAAAGATTTTTGTGTGGGAAAATTGATGGAATTGGTTTGGGGGAATTGGTGAGTCTGTTTCTCCGGCGGAAATATCGATTGGGTTCAATTGTGGCCAAATGGGTCTAATCTTTTTTATTCACGTGAGAAAATACCGATTTGGTAATACATAAATGGCAAGTTTTGTAGTTTATATGCTTATTTGTTTGTTTAATACTGTATTAACATGATTGAGTAATTTGCATAGCCTAGGGTTGGTTTATGAGATTTTGAAGTATGAAATTGGTAGCAACTTGTTTGGCTTAAGAAACTGTGTGTTTGTATGTGCTTGTATCCTATTTGGAATAGTTCATTGTGCCAAAAAGTAGTTTAAGAAACTGTATGTTTGGATGAGTATTGCTTTATCGCTAAAAGTTTAATCTTTTCTAATGAAGGTTTATTATGGGATTGAATTTAACTTCTATTTCAATTTTGTCTGTTTACTATCATGAGCATTGTTTTTTTGCTGAAAGTTTCCATCTTTCGTTTTGGGTTTTGTTATAGGGATGAAGCAATGGCCCTTCTTTGTAGAAAGTGGCGTTGGTGATAATGAAAAAAAAAGACGAGTACTTCAGGTATCCATCCTCTGCTTTTTCCTAACAGGGGCAAAACAAATACGGGGTAACATAGTTAATTCACATTAACTTTTTAAACCTACCGAATTGAAAACAATTTCCATCTTTTTTTAAAACTGAGGGCGTATCTATTCATACACAAAATATGTTGTATGGGATGGAGTGTCAAGCAGCAAAGCAAATGGTGAACATGAATAATAATTAATAAAAAATAGAAAAGGGCGTGATTTGATCTATGTTGCCGACCCCACTTAGTGGGATTAGTCTTGTTTGTTTTCAAAGAAATAATAATTTTGTTTGTATGTAAACTAGCATTTCATCCTCCTTTATATATATATATGTCAGGATGTGGAGTCGACAGTTGGGGGTGACATGAGTCAACTTCCAGATGAAATTCTTGAGTACATTCTGAGTAAATTGATACTTAGGGATGCAGTTAGAGCAAGTTTGGTATCATCTAGATGGAGGCATCATGTTTTGTCCCGACCTTGCCTTATTTTCAAAACATGTAGCATGTTCAAAATTGAGGGAGCCTCAGAAGAGAAATGTGTTTGTTCAGAATACAAAGATCGATTTGTACGAGCTGTATATGACTTCCTTGCTTCATATAGAGGCGTGCGAATGAAAAAGTTGTCTGTTCATTTCTGCCTGATGACTGTTTCCAAGAATGTCGTCTCAGACTGGATGAGAGTTGCTTGTGATTTAGGTGTGGAAGATGTTGTGTTTGAAATATGTTGTGAATATTTGGAATCCAAAGTGCGATTGCGTGGTACTCGGCTCGTAGAGATTTTCCCAAGTACACAACCGATTGTTTTAAAGTATCTTAGACTATCTGGCTTTAATGCTTTTGCAGTCAGTCTGTTCACCCGGCTACAGACCCTCAACCTTTATTACACGTCTTTGGATTCTCATGTTATGGAGAGTGTGCTCTCATCGGGCTTAGTAAATCTGAAGATGTTAAGATTTAAACACTCCAAATTGCCTCCCTATTTAAGCCTTAACTCACTCCCCAACCTACAGCATTTCGTGGCTAATTTTTGCTCTGGATTGGAAAAAATTGACGTGGCTAGTCTTAAGCTCAAAAGGTTGAAAGCTAACTGCAATAGGACTGTTTCAGTGGGGCTCACGCGGGTTCCCAACTTGAAACGATTGAGTTACATGGTGCATGATGGTCCCAGCATATGCCACATTTTTTCCAAGCTCCCACAAATTCTTCCTCGTTTGACATCTTTGCATGTTTGCTCTAGTTCCAACTGGGTAAAGATGAAATGCCTTTTATGTTTTTTTTTGTTATTTGTTATATACTACTACTATCACTACCATGTGTATATGTTTTCCTTTTGCAGGTTGAGCACATACCAGAAAGCATAGCTACATTCTCCAAACTTAGGAGTCTAAAACTGCCATTGGCCTCCAAAGTGGAAGATATCATGTTTAAGATTGTCCAGTTTCTGAAATCTTGCCCTAGACTCTCTGATCTTACCATTGGGGTGAGTGATTCATCCCATTTTTGATCTTCTCTCCCACTTAAGTTAAACAAATAATTCACACCCGTGGAATGTACGAAAATTAAACACCATCAGCTTAAGTTATATATTGTGAGGACGACTGTGATTTGCATGCAGTTGAGGCCGAGCCCACGAGAGGACAAGGAACATGAGAAGCTGGAGTGCATTGATGATGATGATTACCATCATAAACATTTGAAGTGGATTAAAATCCATGGATTTGCACGCACCAAAAATCAGATCGAGTTTTGCAAGTATTTACTGAAACTTGCCCCTCGCATGAAGAAGTTAATATTACCACATTGTCTAAAAGAGTGCAAACATCAAGTGAATGAAGAAGAGCGTGAAGCTGTAATAAATGCACTGAAACCATTTTTAAAGGGTGTGAAATTGCTTGTCCTTTAATTTGAGTTCGAATGAAATTTTTGTCCATTCAAAAAATGTTTTTCAATATACGGAGTACTATTTTTATTTTAAAGAAAAAATATTCCTAACTGATTTATTTCTAATATTGTGGACATTGGCATCAAAATAGAATATATATATATATCCAATTACTCCTTAACATTTTGTAATGAAATTTTTTTATACCGTATATGATTGGAGTGATTCGTAAAAATGAATTTGCATAACATTATTCACTAAGTAAAGTAAAAGCTGTGAAACACCATTTACCAATCGTATTATATACATTATGCTCTTAGAAAATATTCTTTAGGACTTAAACTACTAACTTTTAGTTTCTTTTAATACTTCTAGTTTTTTTTAATTCCTTTTAGTTTCTTCAACTATTCTCATTTATTCAAACTCTTTTTATTTCCAACCAATTAATTAAAAAAATATATTATTATTATTATTAATACAACTTTTATGTTCAAAACTATTGTTTATAATTTTTTTTCATCTCACTATTTTTATAATTCACACTTACTATTTTTTTTAACTCTTGAATACGGAGTACAAATTTTTTGTATATTAATCTATATGATAAAATAGGAAGATATCAATATTTTAAACTATATTAAAAAATTAAAATAATAACATAAAATGTTTTATTAATCTAACTTTAGGTAAGAGCCCTCACCTTTCCTTTTATTACTCATTTTTTTTCTTTTTTATTTATTTCAAACTTTAATTTTTTTTCAATTTATTAATTTTTATAAAAATTTGAAAGTCAAAATAGTTTAGAAAGAGACTAAAATAGGAGTAAAATAAAAAAATAAAAAATGTTCTACGTCTTTATCCCAAAAATAGGAGTTTCAATGAAAATAAAATGCCACTCATCAAAGAAAAAGTTAGTTTGATTATATTATTGACATGTCTGATATTTAAAAAAATCTTGTAATATATAAATTAAAATTACAAATATATTATTTTATAACCAATATTGCATAAATAAATTAAGTTGCAACGTAATCACAGTAACTTCATAAAATTTAACATTTTGATATTTACGTAGCTTTATATTATAATTTTTTGTTTTTGCAAAAAGTAGGTTTTTTTTGTACATGAAAAATAATCATACTTTTTTATTTTAAAGACATTAATTAAGATAACGTGATGACGATGATAATGATGATAATAATTACAATAATAATAATTAGAATGATAATGATTTAAAAATATTAGAATTAGAATGATAATGATTTAAAAGTACACTAAAATAAATTTTTTAAAGTTTTTTTTTGTTTTTCCAATTTTTTGAAGTTTTTCTAGTTCTTTCCCTAATCATTCTAGTTTCTTTCAGTTTCTTCAAGATTTTTTCCAATTTCTTCAAAAATCCAACTTTTTTTTTTGCAGTCTTAAAGTACATGTTCTTAGAAAAATTAGAGTGAAAAAAGAACAACGAAACACCCAAGAATTTTTTTAATTACTAATATATATACCCATTATGATTAGAATGATTGGAAAAAATGAATTGGTATAACATTATTCACTAAGTAAAATAACATCTACCAATCTTATTATGCAGATTATGCTCTTAGAAAAAAGAAATTGAGTAAAAAAATAACAGATAAACATCCAAGACAAATTTTTTCAAATACAATTTGTTTACCACTCTCATTTCTTTTTATTGGATACCTAGTTTTGTAAGGCGAGGTAAAGTGAGGTAAGGCGAGGAAAGGCGACGCCTAAGCGAGCGCCTTATCGCCTTAAGGGTTTCTATGCGAGGCGAGCTGGCAAGGCGTTCTAGTGACAACGCCTTATCGCCTAGGCGACGCCTTACGAACTATGGTTTAACACAACTAAACCTTGTGGAAAGGACCACATACGATTGCACAACCAATACACAACAATATCGTATCAAATTTTGTGAAATCACTTTTTTATTTGCCTTATGAAAAAAGTAAACTCTCTGTTTCATAAAACTCTTCTCATTTAAATTCGGACCAAAAAAAGAGAAGTGTATTTATGATCAATTTTCTAATTTTGTCCCTGATGTGATATATAAATGAATAAAAGTAAGATATGATAATTGGATTATCAGTGAAAATAAATGATGTACTGAGAATCTGTGATATGTAATATATGAAAAAAAACATAGAACTAACATAAAATGTCATCTATATTTGATACTAGCACACGTACATATATATCATCAATTAACTCTATACATCGCCCGAGTGCATCTATCATATATTGCACCGGCTTGAAAACTACTCCGTAATATAATCAATCTCTTCATCAACATACATATAATAATAACATATTGAACACTATATTATATTAAAAAAATTATTATTGCTTTATTATTAATTCTCTCCACTTTGGTTTTTTTCTTTTTCAAAAAAGATAAAAATAAAAATGTCAAATGAAAGGAGGGCATTAATTAGGGTTTGATGGGAGGAAGGAGCCACTTGGAGGCTTGAATGTAACCCAGGCTGAGGAAAGGTTTGACTTCTGCTTCCGTGAGGTGCTTCACATATGAAGGACGGGTTGCCTTTGATGCACCCGCCCCTGTGTTTTGGTGTTCTCCAAAGAATATTGTCCTACATATAATAAATTTAGTCAAAACCTTATATCGATAAAAAAAATTCAATGTTTTAGTCAGCTATTTTTTTTAAGGAGTTGGTTAGTGAAAATGTAAAGGAAATTAATTAAAAACATTAATAAAGGGGGTAATTAATTGATCAATTAATTAGCTAGGATAGTGTTAGAGTGCATCCACATCGAAAGTCCAATAGTAGAATAATCAATATATACGCTTTTGAGTTAAACTAATTAATCAATTAGATTTAATCTTTTAATGTGGTTTAGCTTAAGTATCTTATTGCCAATCTAATTAACCTTATCTCATTCTAAATTCTATCATGGTATCGGAGCAGGTTTTAGCCAACCTCGTTTGTCAAAGTGTCTGTCTAGACGTTTATTCCTAGCGGCCCGTTAATTAGTCTTTAGCCTAGTTGTCTGTATGGTGTATGTACCTAACGGGCTATAGCCTGTTTAACATGATTGCTCGTCTAGAAGTCCTTTTCCAGCGGCTCGTGATCCTTTAGGTGTTGGCGCTAAAAAAATTAAGAGGATGAGAGGCCATTTACAAATGGTCAACCGGTTAGATTCAGAATAATCCGATTGTCCACTTGAGAGGGAGTGTTATAGTGCATCCCACATTGAAAGTCCAAGAGTAAAACAATTGGTATATAAGCTCTCGAATTAAACTAACTAGCTAATCGATTGGATTCAATCTTTTAATGTAGTTTAACCCAAGTGTCTTATTGCCCAATCTAGTTAACCATATCTCATTCTAAATTCTATTAGATAGGGAGTAGTAAAAATAAACTTACCCTCCCTTAGTTGGGTCACTGCGTAAGCCCATCCACCCCTCTGGTTTGATGGCATCACTGACGTCGGTATAGGTAAAGACAACCTTGGAATAGTCAAACCACCCCCTCCCTAGCACCGCCGTTTGGCCGGATCCGGTGACTTTGCAGTGCACAAAAGAGAATCCGGTGTCCTCGTTCTCACTCTTCCTGCCGTGCGCCGTCACCATGGCCATCCGATTCCCTTCAATCACGTGTATCTCATTATTCTGCAATCAATCACATCATTCCATCAATAGTATGGTTATCATTGATGAAATATAATAAATAAAGCAAGTAGGAGTAGTTTTGATATTTTAAAATACTTCCTCCATCCAGACTGTAAACCACATTTTAAACAACGTGTAAAATATCATCGCTTTTAAAATCATTTTGTTTATAAATGAGTAAAGAAATAAAGTTTACAAATTATATCGTTCAAAAATAGGTCAAAAGTTCTACAAAATAAGACGCGATAAGAATATTTTATTTTATCATCAAATGGTCAATCAAAACGAGTAAAAAAACAAAGTTATCGAGAAGCCGATATAATAACTGTTGCTTACGTTTTGGAACGAGAAGATCATTAAGAAGGGCCAGGTAATAAGAATATCTATGAGAGACAAATAAAAATGGCTAATTGAAAGATTTGCATTGGTCTAAAGGAGCATTTACCAAGAAGATGCTCTTTCCATCACCAAAGATGAAATCAACTGTGCCCTCAATGTAACAATCTTTATAGAAATGCTTGTTATGGTGATCACAAAGGGTGTCTTGAAACCCAAAGAACTTGCAGTTATAGAACGCGGCCTTATCGCCTGTTATGGTCAAGGCAACCGCTTGTTGTCCTGTTTTTAACCCGTCCGGTCTTGGGGCAGAGTTCTGCAATTAATCAATTAGCACTTAAATATGGACTCAATAGCACAAAAATATAGACTCTTTCCTTGTATAAAATTTAATATTTATTATGCGAAAATATTTAAGATAGAACTAAAACATGTTGCATATACTAAAATATTGTATATACTTGTATATAGCGGAGTCCTAATTTCAAGAGGGTTTAATTTAAGGATTGTTTTTCTGTTGTACGTTCTATAATAAAGTCTATGTTTTGATTATACAAATCATTATAAAAATATTTGAAAAACAGTCATTTTGGTGATTTATTTTTTAAAAAAGCTAAAACTTATGAGATGCAGACTCTTTTCTATTAAAAAATATGTAAAGTTTGAAGCAAGATAGATGAAATAACTCATTCTACTTATCATTCAACTAGACAAGGAATTGAGGACTCACTATACTCACTTACTATACTTGCCTCAGGTTTATGCATGTTATATATGTTCGTCAAATTTGGTTTTCTTTAACAGTTATAATAACTTTTAATTTTATAAAGTTCAATGTATTTATACTCCATAGTTAATTATATTATGTACTTCGTATTTAATACATACTCTTTATATTTCATAAAATATTTCATCTTTCATTTTTTTATTTTCTTCAAGACATTACTTTTACCTTATTTTTTTCTTACCATACCTATCACACCATACTTTTTCATTAATAGTACCCCCTCCGTCCCAAATTATTTACCACATTTGTATTCCCGAGATAAAATATCAAGTTTTTTCAATTCATTTTATTTACATATTGGTAAAGAAATAAAAAATAAAATTTACATATAAAAAACTACATGAAAAGTTCTTCTAAATAAGAGGTGTCAAGAATATTTTATTTTATCAAATAATCAATGAAAACATCAAAATAAACAAAAGTTTCCGACACTGCTGAAAAAGCAAATGTTGTGAATATTTAGGGACGGAGGGAGTATATCTATTACATTTTACTTTTACCCATCACATTAAATGCAAAATTAAAAAGTCAACCACAAATATACATTTTTTATTTCTCATAAAAGTCAAAATTGAAACCCTAACCGTTTTATGAAACAGAGAGAGTACTACCTCCGTCCTAGAGTATTTATACACTGGTGGGAAAAGAACAGAATTCATAATGCCAAAAATTACTTTGAAATATCAACTTATCAAACCAAAATATGATCTTTTTTAGAATCGACACTGCTATTTAAGAGATAAAGAATAACATATTTTGATACAAATTTTATTTTTTTAGTTATATTTAGATAAAATTTTTGTATTCTAATGTAATCGTGATTGTCAAGGACCTTCCTATTCAATGACCCCGTCATAACCCTCCCAAATGACAAGTTATATGTTCGATCCACGATACAAATAGTAATTATAAGAGTTTAAATAGGTTGAAAATGTATAAGCAGATATTATATCTTTTAAAAAAATTATTAGTGTTTGAAAAAAAAATCCTGATTTTATAGACTCTCTAACTCCATCAATTAGGGTTAAAGTAAAATATACAATTATCAAAAGATCATTTCCATAAATTGATGTTTCTTTATCTATTCAAAAAAAAAAGTTTACATTTATGCCTTATCCAAACTATTTCTCTAATTCAAACAAAATTTAATCATATTTTTTGCTCATATATTTCTATATTTTAATTTCTTTTAAGATCTGTTTGGTACACGGAATTGACGGAATCGAAATTAAATTAAAAATATAAATTAAATGAAATTAATTTAGAGTCTAAATAGTACTACACCCTCCGTCCCGTGAAACACTTCCCCTTTCTTTTTTTATCCGTCCCACGAAACACTTCTCATTTCTATTAAAAAGTCACTTTTACCCCTTACTTTTTCATACCCTAACTATCACATCATACCTTTTTACTAATAATCATACTTTTACCCATCACATCAAAGGACATTTTTGGAAATTTAATACCAAAATACCCTCCCTTAAATCCCTCCTAAAAAGTAAATGTCTCATGTTTCATGGGACGGAGGAAGTAGTATTTTTTACGGAGTAATTCCGTAAGCCAAATAGAGTCTTAAAAAAATTGAATTTAATTTACTCGGTAATTGGGAGAAACGAAAGGTATAAAAAGTAGAAATCATCCTAAATAGGACTAAAACATAGATAAAAGTACCAAAATAGTACTTTCATGTTTTTTTCCCCGAAATAGGACTTTGCACTGTGGTAATGTGACTTTGCCCTGTGGTAATGTGACAGTGTACATGTGCAAATTACTATACGTTTTTGGTAATGTAAATGACCATGTATGATAATGTAAGTCCTATTTCGGGAATAAAAACATGGAAGTCCTATTTTGATATATTTTCAATGTTTTAGTCCTACTTTGGTCTTTCTCCTTATAAAAAGCGAAGCAAGGTTACCATGACGTTAATGTTAATCGCCGTGAAGTAATCCGACAGAACGTAGAGAGTGGCGCTGTAAATGGTCCCCACTTTAGCGGCGGTTTCGCCGGCGATAATGGTCGGCCGATCCTTGGGGTCGCCGATCAAGGTGACGAACGGCTGGTTCCAGTTCACCATCACCTTCTCCGTGTAGTTCCCGCCGGCGATCGAGATGATGTACCGCTTCGTGTTCTTCGCCGGAATGCTCTTCACGGCGTCGGTTATCGTCTTGAAGTCCCCTTTCCCGTCCTTGCTCACCCGGATCCGCTTCACGTCCGCCTCCGCCGCCACCAGGGCGGGGTCCAGAGTGCCCTTTCGGCTCTCGAGTGGCTTCACGTTGGCCGTGAACCAGCTCTCGATCTGGTCCTTTTTCGACGGGATCGGCGGAGATCCGTCGTCCGCCGCCGCCGCGGAGACGTTGCCGGAAGACGGCGACGCCGCGGCGGTGACGGCCGACGAGGGAGCGGGAGCGGGCGCCACCTTGGTGGCCGGGCATTGTACCACGAGGTGGAAAAGAACGGCAACCGCGACGGCGACCGTGACCGTAACGGCGTTTCTGGCCATCGTTTTATTGTTTTTTTTTTCAAAAAAAATTAAATTAATGATCCTTATTTTTGTGTGTTAATTATCATTATACAGTTAATTATTAAGTGTTTGTTTATATATGGACGAGAGGCAAGAAAAGCGAGGGAAGTTAATGGGCGCGCGCAAATGAAAGATTGTTTGTGGATTAAAAGAAACGTTGATTTAGGCACAGGCGACTGGTGATTAACAACTACGGATCCGTATTAATTTTATTTTTTCAATTTTAAAAACCTATATGGAGTAATATTGTTAATTTCCTCCATGGATGAAAGCTTGATTTTATGGAATTTTTCACACTTTCCAATAAAAAACTGCAGAATGTTTTTTTTGTAACAGAAATGTTGAAACTACAGAATATTAATGTTGATGAACACAAAAAAAAAATCTTACTCAAAAAATTTATGTTGTGCTTTATTTTAGGAAGCATTCCGTACTTCAATAATAATAATAATAATAATAATAATAATAATAATAACAACAACAACAACATCAACAACAACAACAACAAGGTGTTTGCTATATCCACTCCCTTTTTGACTAAATTCATTCCATTTATAATGAATTGATAACTTTACCCTTATAAGTTTGTTTGCATCTAAACTTCCTCTTTTGTATTTGTAAGGAGAAATGGTCAATTCATTGTAAATGGGGTGGATTTAACCAAAATGAGGTGGATTTTGTAACACCCTTATTATTATTATTATTGTTGTTGTTGTTGTTGTTGTTGTTGTTGTTGTTGTTATTATTATTATTATTATTATTATTAGAGTGGTGCTAAATACTCTCATGTATTTATTAAATCCACATCATTCATTGACAAATATCCAATTTACTCTTAAGTTGGTTCACATGTTGCATTTCTTTATTTTTATACTTTTAAGACAAATTTTTGCGTTGTTACTTGTTACAAAAAGTGTGGATTTAGCAACACCCCTATTTATCTTACTCATATACACGTGTATTTAGACAAAAATACCACCCCTTCATTAAAAATTTTCAATAACTCACCTACTCCTACCTTTTTAGTAAGATACACCCCAAAGGCAAACTCACTTAAAAATTAGAAAAATTCAAAATAGATAATAAATAAATTCAAACGGAAGGAATATTATTCTTATCATTATTATTTTATTATCTACTACATAATAATTATAGGTAAATATAAATATTTATATAAAACATACCATAGGCAGATTATATTTTTTGGAAATTTAAAATAAATAAAATAAAATTTTAAAATAGAAATCATCCTAAATAGGACTAAAACATAGAGAAAAGTACTAAAATAGGACTTTCATATTTTTTTCCCGAAATAGGACTTTGCACTGTGGTAATGTGACTTTGCATTGTGGTAATGTGGCAGTGTACATGTGCAAATTACTATACCTTTTTGGTAATGTATATGACCATGTTTGATAATGTAAGTCCTATTTCGGGAATAAAAACATGGAAGTCCTATTTTGGTATATTTTCAATATTTTAGTCTTAGTTTGGTCTTTCTCCCATTTTAAAATCATTAGTGCTAGTGGGGTGACATCCAAGTTGAAGAATATGAAACTTTAATATCTCCTTGCATTATTATTATTATTATTTGGTACTACGAGTACTTTTTCCCAATTTCAATGAAGAAATTTCTAGTGACATGCCATTTCCCTTCTAAATTACTCCTACCCAAGAGGTGATCGAAAATGGTACACAAGCAATTCCTACCAAATTAATGATATGATATAGAGGGTGCATTGTGCATAATGCACATTGTACCCCCTTTTTTTTTTGCCCATACACAATTACACAATCAACAACTCAGATAAACGTCTGCAAATCAATCGAATCTGCGTAGAACTTGAGGGCAACATAACATTTTCCATGGGAACAATGCATATCCTATCAAACATGTCTCTTGAGAAGACACGAAAGAAAAAACAAAAACAAAAACAAAAACAAAAACAAAAACAAAAACAAAAACAAAAAAGGATCCCTTAATAGAACATTACAATCAATGGAATCTTACGACGTGATAAAAACAAAAATAACCTGCCAAGTAAAATTGGGTGTAACATTGCAGGATTTGTTTAGGAGGAGACATCACCATGCAGAGGCCTTCCGAAATAAAACCAACCGCTACACTTGCATGCATTGTGCTCTGAGGTATGGAAATCTGAATCCCACGAGAGTTGGGGTGCTGATGAGAATCTCAGCCTTCAGAGGTTTTGTTTCACAGTAATTCCTGTGATTTGTACAGCGGATTTGGGGCGATAATGGTCGTCCGTGTCCACTTCTTCAATCTCCTGAATTGCACACCATAGCATGAATATAATTATAGGGCTATAAATGGTATTACCCAAAAAAAGCTACAAATGGTGTTACCCACCCCCCCCCCCCACAAAAAAAAAAGAAACAATGTATTGTGTTAGCCAGAAAAAGCTAAAAATTGTGGTCTTGACAAGTATTTTGTAATTTGGGGATGCATACACGCTCTAAGAAACATATTTATGTATTAAGATTCTCCGTAATGTTGCACTCGAAAAACTTGTGTATTAAAAACAGCTGATTTTCAAATACTTCAAAATAGTATCTTTATCAAAAAAAAAATATTCTGAATCCAAACACTTCATAAAAATTTTGTTTTGTAACCACAGCTTTTACAGCTGAACAAGCACATTCTTGAAACATAGTTTCCAAACCGTAAAGCACATTTCAAATTGATTAAACAAGCACCATCAAGTAAATATGCTGAAAATGGACCCTTACATCGATTTGAATTATTCCAAAGTATGAAACGCAGATATGATGGGGACTAATATCTACGGAGTAGTTTGCTTTTTATTCCATGTGGTTTGGAAAAAAAGGTGTATAGAACTGGATACAATAAAGAATTTCATACCTGAACAACATCTTCACCTCTGATGACACGCCCAAATACAAAAATCTTTTCATCCAGATCTGGAATTGGTGCAGTTGTTATAAATATATCAAATCCCCCACCACCTTGTCTTGCCTTGGAAGTACCAAACATAAATGCTTCATGCTTCAGACTGTAAAATTGTAAATGAAAAAGAATAAAACCCAGATCAATAAAAGAAAAGGGCCCGAATGTATCAACCAGCGGTCCAGCGTAAATTAAATTAAGATGAGGAAAACCTTGTGTCAAGGTGAGCATAGTTTTTTACCCTTGACGTCCAATCTTCGGTAGATTCTGGTTTTTCCACGTTACTTCCGTGGATAACAAAGTTCTTAATAACTTGGTTAAATTGCATCCCATTAAAGTGGTCCTTAGAACTGCAAATACATTGACACTTTATCATGCAAGTTCAAAGCATAACAAGTACACTGACAACTGAGCTAGCTCATGAAGCCTTTTGGAAGAGATGTTGATGGAAAACTAAAAAAAAGTAGTTTCTTAAAATTTCTCGAATATCATGTTGAAATGTGAAACTTCAGATAATTAGATGTCATGAAAAAAATATTTATTTGGATGTAATGGAATTGAATACGGAGTAATATTTAAGAAAAACACGCACCATAAATCAACAAATTCGTCAACAACATCAGAAGAACCGTCCTTAAAAAGCTCAACAGTTATCAAGCCTTTTGTGGTGCTTATGAGCTGTCAGGCACAAAAATAACATAATTGAATTCCTCTAGACAAGTAACCTATTGAAGGGGAAATGTGATTATAATAAATTCGAATAAAATGTGTCGCAACTCGCAAGTTCGCAACAAACAAATAAAATGCTAACAATACCATGCTACTTCAGAAAATAAGCATAGTTGATGGTCATGTTCTGGATCCATGAATGTACCCGGAGTATAACTTATATGATAAGCTATGGTTTATTGGGTACTTCAGTTGCAAATAATTAACTACTGTCTCACTCATGGTAATTGAATAAACACAACAGTAGAATTGACAAAAAAAATTGAAAAAAAGAAGATTAGACGAGTATTCTATAGAAAAGTGTCTTTCTATAACAAGTATAAATCAGAGTGTCAAACGTGCAGCCTAGATCGATGGGAGAGAGAGGGAGACCACCTCCATGGACACAATTTTAGCTTGGGATGACTGGTATTTGGATTTAAATTGAAGACAAACTATTTTCCATTATACTCCCTCCGTCCAAGATTAAAGTTCTCACTTTGACTTGGCACGGAGTTTAATAAAAGATGAAATTTACATTGACTTTCCTAAAAATACCCCTCCATCCCTCATCCCTTCTCTTCTTTTCTTGTCCACTCATTTTCTTCTCTGTGCAATCAGATGCCCCCCAACAAGGCCGAACCTTTTCTTCTCTGTGCAATTGGATGCCCCCCCAACAAGGCCGACCCTCCTCGCTGCTCTGCCATTATCACCGATGGCCGTCGTGATGGTCTACCACGTCAACTCCGACCGCCGCCTCACTCCGCCATCATCAATCGGTGCCTGTACTCCGCTGCCACCGCCGATTTTGTTGACGCTGACCTCTGATCTGAATCAAAATTCTCAGATCTGATGGAGATGACAAGAAAGAAGAAAAGAAAGAAGAGTTGAAGATGGATTGGCATGGGTGTGGGACCATGGGAATTGAAGAAGAAGAAGAAGAAGAGGAGATCGGACGGCCCTTTCACCTCCGACCACCGCCACCGCCTTGCTGCCCCACCTTTGCCCCGATCGTTGCTTCGCTGCTCTCAATTTACAAGAAAAAATCAGAAGAGCAAAGAAGAAGAAAGAAATAAAAGAAGAAGAAGAAAGAAGAAGAACGAGATGATGATAAGAAAAGAGAGTAGAAGAAGAGAGAAAAAAGAAGAAAGAAAAGTGACGGCTGGGAGAGGAAATGGATGGGGAAGGAAAAAGAAAAAGAAAGGATAAGGATTGGGTGGGAGGGTAATTTAGACTTTTTAGTATAAAAAACTTTCCAAAAATAGAAATGGGAAGATTATTTTTGGACGGACGAAAAAGGAAAGTGAGAACTTTATTTGTGGACGGAGGGAGTAATGATTTTGAAGGGATGTCCATTGCCTATGGATCTAAAAGAGTCATTTGTTCTACAACGTTTTGAAAGTTTCAGCTTTGTTAAATATTCAGATGCTAATTGTTCTTTGTTTGATAAATGTTTAAGATTTATGAACTTTAGATTTTAAATCCTAGTTCTATGAATCCTATGATTTAGAAGTATCTCATCCAGCAACAATTATAATAATTTCAATTTACAAATCCTTTATTAAAGGATCTGGGAGATTTAATATTCTATAAATCATAACATTTTTTTAATATAATTATTTAATCCTATACAAATCAGATCAGGAGGACATCATGCTAAAAGCCTAAAGCGGGTCAGAACATGACACCATAGAACATGACACTAGCATTTTTTTTGCTCGTGATCAATTACAAAAGGTGAAAAGAACATGTCATCATGGTAGGTGAGTGGTATTTTAAAGCATAACAATATGCTTTAAAACTTCCAATGTGTTGGTGGAATCGGTTTATTATGAAGGAAAAAGGTTGTGAAATGTTTATTTTTTGGGCTGAGAGAGCTGAAACTGATCCGCCTACTTTATTTCAATATTCTTTTTCTTTTATCTATTTAAGAATAAGAATATATGTTTACATTACTTTTTAAAAAACAACAACAACCAAGTTGGATCCCACAAAAGTAGGGTCTGGGGAGGGCGTGTGTACGCGCAACCCACATTACTTTTTTTAAATCATCAGAAAATTCAGTCAATTGAGTCACAAAATCAGTCAGCAGAATTAGCCACTTTCTTTTATATATTTTAGAATATATGTTTACATTAATCCTTTAAATACTTCAGAAAAATCACCCTGCAGAATTAGCCACTTCATCAATTTCAATACGTACTAAACAGGCTCTTAGAGTTAGTGTGACAATAGATTTTTCAAAACTTACAGCATATTTTCCAGCATCAGATTTCTTCTGCTCTGCAAAAAAACTATCACCCTGCAGATCATAAAAGAATCAAAATTGCAGATGTATGCAACAAGGAATTTGAAATAAACAACATTTATGGTGTTGAAGGTAGAGTGCATAATGACTGAATTACAAGAGCTATGGTCATGACATAAAATCTTAAAATTTAACTCCAATCATAAGAGCGTGTTTGGTTGAAAGGGGAAGGAGGGAAGGATCACTTAACCTCCCCTTGTTTGGTTCAAAATATTTTTTAATGTGAGACCCATAATATTTCCATCCTCCCCTCCAGCTGTTGATGGGCGAGAATGAGAGGAAAGTTATTGGGCCCCACATTTACAAACATTTTGAACCAAACTTGGGGATGACAAATGACTTCCTCCACCCCTCCAGCTATGCAGACCCTAAATATTGTACTTCAATAAAAAGCATGTTTCAAAAACTCTTTTGGCCCCAGAATGTGCCATGTTTCAATGGACAAAGCTAGTTTTCATTGAATTAATTGTGATCTTAAAAATGAACTTAAGTATGATAAATTTAGTTAAATGAGCAAATGAACCAATAAGAATAAGCCTGATCAATGACTTAAATGACTAGTACCGCATCCCCGAATATGTAAAAGAAGTATCTTGCTAAACATGACTCTTTTTTGGGATAAAGACAACATAATAAACGTAATTATAAAAAAAATATGCACTTCATATTTCACACTTGGGAATACAAGAAGCAATGTTGTACTGGGTTAAACATATATGAACAGTTCGAAGCAAGGATTTGTGAAAATTTACCTCACCTACATCCCTTTGAAGCATGGATCTGAATCAAAACAGAATATATTAAATACATAACAAAATAGAATCTGTATTATAAAGCAATTCAAAACAGCAAGTGTTTTGCATTGCATAAACATGGCATTGAAATTTAAATAATGCTCTAACATAACAATTAATTAATGTGTAGAGATTATGTGGTGAATTTGGGAGAAAGGTGAAATATTACTCTCAGTAGTCCGTCCCACAAAGATAGACATGTTCCTTTTTCATACACATTAAGATGTGGTGTATGTACTCATATCGCACTTATTATTTTAGTTAAACAATCAATTTAGGATACATCAGTCTTTTTATGGAAATGACAAGTTCAATTTAGAAATATGATTGTCGTTGTGGGATAGCCAAAAAATACTTGGCCTATCATTGAGGCCAAAGGGAAGAGATTGAACTGTGCAAGCACCATGGAAAGGGGGGCAAGCTGGGTTCAATTATACATCTAGCAAATCGAGTTACATTGACGTGTTTTGTTATTGCAGAGATCAATACATGAATACAACCCAACTGCCCAAGAAATATTCCTCTTAGTGTCTTACCAGTTACCACTACAACATTCTTAATTTCTTATTATCTAAAGTTCTAAACTATGAGTATATCTTCAAACTATATCCTACCAAATCATAGAAACTAGGAAGCTTTGAGAATAAGTGGAAAGATGATATAATCTCATAAATCAGGGAACACAAATCAGAAAATAAGATTTTCAACCCCCCCCCAACCATGTCATTTCATGCCAATAAGCTACGAGGAAATAAAAGGTAAGAATATTAAACTATTGAAGTATGTATGTATGTGTGTAAGGATGGAAGTGAATACTTTTCACTTTTTTAGTTTCCTTTCATAACTATCAAATCAATATATTCATCAACCGGCTTTTGATTATTAGAAACTAAATACAGATTAATTTTTTAGTCCTGGGCATAAGCTAAAAGTTCAAAAGTTGCAGCTGCCTTTGACAATGACAAACAACTCAAAAGGAAAACTTTGAACTACTGATAGGGAACAACCAGAACTCATGTGAATTAAGGTTTATTGGTACTTGGTATTTAACATACCTCCTCGACCAGTGCCTGTACGTGGCAAACAGGAAAAATGCCATTACAGCAGCAATGAGTATGTACATAACAATTGTTGTGGCACTAATACGACTTGGGCCCTTCTTCTTTTTGCTCTGCAGCAAGAGCGCTTGAGGTTTTATCCTCGCCATTAGTGCTTACAACCCTCTGGTAGTGATCCCTAAACACGAAGACCAATTATCGGTTAAGATATGAAGATTGAAAAACCAGGTAGAATCAGAAACACCAAACCAACAACGAAAATAAAAATAAATCTCAATTACTTATAGTATCATCGGTAATACAATCAATCAAGTTGATTGATCAGTTTGCATCTGTGGAGCAAATTAAAACCTAATCATTATGCACAAACTTCAGAAAATGAAGTAATAACGATAGAATTCGAGCAGAAATCAGCTACGGTGAAACACCAAGCAATAGTGGTTCAAACATCTCGATCTAAACCACCGGAAGAAGACTATCAATAGGAAAAGAAAACCCCATGAAATGACATCCAGGTTCCACACGGCATAGACATGCCAAACCTGCGGAGTACTCGCGAGTCGTGTGGTTGTCTGGTACGAGATCAAAGGGATCGGACACGGCTAGGAGACGTCAGGAAACGACGGGGATACACGCGCAGTCGCCGGAGGTGTTGTGAGAGAAATGTGTGGAGTTTCCTTGTCTGGTAGTCTGATCAATTTTGAAATCATAATTTAATTATTAGGAGATACTCCGTATTTGATTATTATGAAATCATAATTAAATCATTATGAAATTCATAATATAATTATTATGATTATTTAATTGTGAAATCATTATTTAATTATGAAAAATTTCACACGGATACTCCATGAAATTTGTGATTTGATTTTTAATACTACGTAATCCGTAGTTCAATAAATTACGTTACTATTCCCAGAAATTACTCAACTTTATACACATACTCGATGTTGTCATCTAAGCTGAATATATGGTATTTTAAATGATGTCTAGATAATTATTACGGAGTAAGTATGAGTGATGGAGTTGGCTGGCAATGTGATGGTTGCCGATAATAATGGTAGTATATTGTATGAAAGCGAGTGAATTGTAAGCAGTTGAAGGAGATATCAATCTTTGATATTTATATCTTCCAAATTTTGAATATATCAAAACTCTTCAATTTAAGAGTTTGTGATATCGGGAAAAATCAAATTTGATACTCCGTATAAAAATTTCTAATCTTTTTATTCATCAAATATGCCTCATGCAAATTCGACCAAAATACACGTGTTTGACAATAATGTTGAAATTTAATTAGAATTAGTATTTTAAAATTGTTACACGTGTTTCTTTTGATAGTGAAATAACAGTTAGCGAATAAACTTCTAACGTGCATCATAGATCATCTCAAAATAACCGCACACTCTATATTTTAAAGATATAGAGTTCGGGTTGCTTACATGATACTTGTAATATATGTTTGAGTCAGGGGTTTCATTATATTGTCTCAAGCTACTTTCGAATAACAGTAAAGTATGCGTACCATTAACATGGCGCTGGGTGGTCCATTCAGATCTAATTGGGTGGGGGTTAATTACTAGTTACCGTCAATTTTACGAACACGGCACCGAAGATATTCAATTGAGTCATTCTCATATTATGACATTTGGCCCTAATGTTAAAATAAAAAAACTATCAGAGATGACCATAATACGATATTTAGCTCATACCAATATCGTACTAAATATTTTGGTCCAATATTCAACTGTACGATGTACCATTCCAGTTCCAAAGTTTTGGTTCAGTATGGATTGGGATGATTCGGTATCGGTCCAGTATAAATCACTATAAATACATACGGACCTAATTTACACATCAAAATCAATAAAGCCTTTTATTTTTTAAAAAAATCAACAGTGCATTTAAATAAAGAAACATAAAAAATAAAAACTACTTCCAAGAAATATTTATGAAACATAGTTTATATCTACAAACTAAAGAGATTCAATGATAACAGAATAGTATTCTAAATATTTTTTAATATTTTTTAATCCATCTATAAAAAATTAAAACTCTGGTAAAAATATAATGTGCACATACATCAATTTGTAACCTTCTCGAGTCAAACTAGATGACTTTTGGATCTCAACTAAATAAAACTGCAATGTATTCAAGTATAAAAACAAGTTAATTATATATATCTTTGTTGTGCTAATATACAATATAAATAGAGAGTAATTGATGTCTAAGTGCATTCCGTTTAATTTGAAAAAACTAAACTATGTGAATACACTAAAAGGGGCGTACTTCATAATTCGTAGAAGCTAAAAAAATTGCTCTTGAAGTGCAAAAACAAGCAATACACTCCGCAGAATATAATTTTAATTTACATTATTTTCATGTACTCAGAGACATATTCTTTAAATGTTATTGACATACACTTATTATAATGTAGTATATGTTTATACTTTCTCAACCTAATGACGCACAATGAGACATTGTTGTCGTCAAAGTTTGAATCTGAGTAAACTTTTCCATTAACATGGAAGAGTGAATTTCCTATTACTCAAGCCATTAGAGAATTTTCAAGCCATGAGAGAAGTTCCAGGTGTATATAAATGGGTTAACCTAAAAAATGAATCCAAAATTATAGTTAGGGCTTTTTTTTAAAAAAGTAAAAAGTGTATTCATTAATTCAACATGCCAAACGCGAAAGTATCATAAATCAAAGGTAGAGGAAGGTTCTTCAAGTCCATGAAGTCATACCAAAATCAGATGCTCGAACCAACAAACGATCTACATGATCATTGATCTCCTAACTACAGACAAAGAGATAGGATCAAACTCTGTCATCAATGTTTTATGATCATAAATCAAACGTGTAAAATAAGAGAATTTATCTTCAATAGTATGCATGCACGGCTGACCAAACTATTTGGTTGTCCATCTCAAGAATGATCCTCCATTAACGTATTATTACATCCGTCCCAGTGTATTTGTCCAGTTTGACTTTTTTAAGTCAAACTAGACAAACTTTAAACTTCAATTACTCTCAATTCATATTGTATATTAGCATAATGAAATAGAATTTTGAAAGTTCTCAATACGATAAATCCAATAAAATTATTTTTATGTTAAAATATATTATAGTTTTTATTTAATTGAAGTTCAAAATTTGTCCAGTTTGACTTGAAAAAGTCAAACTGTACAAATACACTTATACACTGGGACGGGACTCGGGAGGGAGTATTTAACAATATCAACGCCTCTCGCGGTCTCATCACCTCCACCATCAAGGCATTCTCCCCTACTTCGAGACCGCGATGAATTCCACCTAAAAAATTTTCATGTGCAACGTGGTTGAAGTTATAAAAAAATTACACCGTAAATATTTATTAGAAAGTAGTCAAAGTACGGAGTATATAAACTAGGTCTACCAAAGATTTAAGCCCGCCAACTTAAAAATTCGCACAAAATTTCCCGGTAGGGCTAATAGCCGCAGGCCCGCACCTTCTGCCATCCATTTCACGTTTCGCCGATGTCCCGTCCAGGTTCGATCTCCATACCAGACGTCTACATCGTAGAAGATTACGAGGGAGAGGAATTTGAAGAAGGAGAAGGAGAAGAAGAAGACGAAGAAGAAGACGAAGAAGAAGAAGAAGAAGAAGAAGAAGACGGGTCCGAAGAGGATACAGACGAGGAGGAGGATGAAGTGACGTATACAGGGTGGCCGGATCTATCTGGCGCTGGAGGAACTACGACGCCGTCGCAGGATGATGTGCGAGGTTTTGAGAATACAGGGGAGACTACGTCGGACGCCGGAGCATCTCAAAGCGCGAGATCAGTTGAGAAATTGGCAGGTGTTGAGGACGATGACGGTGCGGGAGAGCGAGAGGAGTGGGATAGGAGTGAGGTTGATGGTTTGTTCTGTCCAATTTGTATGGAGGCATGGTCTAGCGGTGGTAACCATCAAATCTGGTTCGCTTTATACTTTTTGCATCCCCAATTTTCTGTGATATCAATATCTCTCCACACTGCTTATCATCTTTGACAAGTTTTAACTTTTTTAGAAAAACAAGTAAGGGTTTTAAGATTACGGGTTGATATCGTAGTTCCGAACTCAGCAGCTCCTAACTCGTATTCAAATTCTTGTCTAATCTAAGTAGACTCAATCACACAAAAATAGCAGATGACACTAAAATCACCAACACCGGTATAATCCTAAACCATAAGGATCATAATTGCTACTCTGTCTTCGTGATGAATTGCGAGTCTCGGTTGAAGTTAGACTAATTATCCTACACTAGTTTTTGAATGCAGGGGATCATTAGAAATTAAATATTGCCTAGAGGTTTTATTAAACTGCGAATTTCATTTTGAGCATGACAAACATTTGATTTGAAATGAGAGGATAAAAGATAATTGGACCTACCAAATATACAATTATTAGGACATTTAACATGGAGCTGAGGGGAATTTTATGGCTGGGGACGATTCTAAGTAAACATGTTTTCCTCCTGACATGCACTGATTCCCATGCATTTGAATTTTCACGTTATGGTTTTATTGCAGTTGTCTGCCTTGCGGACACGTTTATGGAATGTCTTGTATCAAGAAATGGTTAGACCAGAAAAAAAGATCGGGAAAGGTTGTGTTCATATTTATTATTTCTTTCTTTTTGAAATATTTGAAGGAGCCCTTCTGTTTTCATTTTATTTGGGTCATGTCTTCATCCCATTTCTTTCCCTCTATACAGTGTCCTCAATGCAACAAGAAATGCACAGTGAGGGATGTCCGGCTACTTTATGTGTCTCAACTTCTTGCAGTGGATGAAAAACTACAAAAGGTTGTATTTGATACAATGTGCTTTTTAATTCACCTACAAAATGATGCAAATACTTCCGTCAGTATATTAAAATGACACAAATTCTTCTTTACTTTTGTTTTCCTAGAAAATTCAATCACTTGAAGCTAAGTGTTCTTCACTGGAGAAGAAGGTGAGAAATTTAAGTGCCTAACTTGTATTTTCTGTTTGTGGAGATGATATTTTTTTTCCAGAGTAGCACATATGGATCCATATTCTATATCACAGAAAAACAATGCTGTAAATTTATTTCATCAAGTCAGCGGAAATTAATTACGTAATAGGTTATGAGCAATATGATGATTCCAGGAGATTATGTATGACTTTACCTCCCTTCGTTTTTTTAAGCATCTATTTTGATTATCCGTGATGTACTTTGTCTAACTATATACAAAAATGTACAATGAATTAAAATATACAAATTACACCATAATATTTGTATCTAAAAATACTTTTAGTATATCATTTTTATATTTTTTTTGCTATTATATTTTAACAGATATTGCTGGGTAAATGTTCTGCACAGAAAACGAAACAAACATTTAAAAAAGAATGTATGGAGTACTTTGTAATTGCTAAAGATTCTAACTAGAATGACTGAATTATGTCGGGCTTTCATTTCAAAGTGTTACTTGGAATATCAACACTTCTGATATCTTAAATATCTAATACTCTGTATAGTACTATGGTGCTTCTCTTGGTTTAATGTCTGGCATCAGCCAGTCAGCAGGCATGACAAACTACCTAAAACTCATTGCTCCATGTTTTGTACTTGCTGTGTGGTACTTTTTAAAGATGTTTTACGGTATTCTTTAAGGAATTTGTACTCTTTAACTCATCTTATTTGTGTGCAAGATCATCTTGAGTGAAGCAAATTTCTGCTCTTCTGATTACAGTCAATGCTACCTTAAATGTTACCACGTACATGTCAGTTAAACTCAATCTTTGCTCTATTAGAATAGAGATTCAACTGTTGAACCCCCTTTTTTTTCTGTAGTGTGTTGATTGGAGCAAGAAAGAAACTCAGTGGCAAAAAACAGAAGCCAATTTACAAATGCAAATTCGCCAGTTAAAAGAGGCATGGTTCTATTTTGCTATTTACAACGAACTATGTGATGCTTCAATTATTTGGATTCTGAATGATACATCGCCAGTGTATTTTGAGTGTCTCTTCACATCTTTCAGCTCATTTTAATCTATGGCATATGTTGGTGTTTGTGCACTTAAATATCAACTAATTGGATCCTGATTGGTTTATTACAAGTCTTTTTCTTTTCAAGCCTCCTTTTTTTGTAAAAAGTATGTGGTCTAGGATTTGCAATCATTAGTAGATTACCGACATCAATTTGACCTGATTTTTTAAAATGAAATGAACACACTTCATGTCTGTGAACTTGATTTTGCAGAGCAAAACTAATGTGGATGTTTGGCCTATAGAGATGGAAAACAGGCCTTCGAAATGGCATATCCCAGGTGAAAGGATCTGCTTGGAATACTTTTCCTTGCTAGTAACTTGTTTTCAAATTTTTTACTGGCTTCTAGAAGAAATTCTGATGCTTGTAGTGATGCATAGGTAGTTGCAACTATGGTTGGCATGGACATTTCAACTACTTTTCCTTGAAGGTCTGTCATTTCTCTAGTATGATTATTTTTATTGTGCACTTCTCTTTATTATTGGAAGTTATAATGTTTTTTGTTATCACAAAAATTTGGCATTATTTTTATAGGAAGAGATGAAGATGGAAGGTGCTCGTTTCTTTGACATTGATGTTTCTGGTCAAGTCCTTATAATTGCTAGAAGATTATCTGGAATGGGGGGAATACATGTTCTTACGAAAGTAAATCATTTGAATGTTCACTTTGGCCTGTATATAGGAATTTCTTTAGTCTATGAAGCAATTCTGCAAATAGGTGATGTAGTTGGATGGAATCAGCTCTTTGTGCCATGTTCTGTATTAACTGTTGTACACATGGTTTTGACAGATGAGCTTGTTATCACAACACGAGAAACAAGACATTCATCTACTTCCAAGCACTAAAGCGGTCAAAGACATTCACATATCACCATATGACAGGCTTGTCCTTGTGGCTTCCTTGGGAAAGAAGTTGTCAATTCTTAGGTAGTTGATCCCCTCATTTAGCCATAAACTTCTTTTGTATTCTAATGTTTATGGACTTATTTTTTCTTATTTGTTGTTTCAGTATGGAAAGCAACAATACAATTTTAACATATGATTTACCGGTAATATTTCTAGTATTCTCTTCTTTTGGCTAAAGAACAGCGTGGCTTGTTTCATGGCCATGACTTCTAGAATCTGGTTTTGGTTCTTAATTTGCTATTCAAGGATCCCAATACCTGTTTTCAAGCTTTAAAACAGTGATGGAGGAAAAGTGTTTTTTAGAAGTCTTAATATACACTACAAATAAAGCATATATTGTCAACATGTTAATTAAATAGTTAGCAAATAACTAATACACGCTTCTACTTAACTACACTACAAACACATTCTGATTTTTCAATAATTTCAGATGAATTAAATGCATGGTAAAATTTGTAGAAAAGTAAAACTCATACTGTCATACAGCATTTTTACGGGCTTTTGTGAAATTCCAATGATTTGTTTTTACTTTTTACTGAAACATTTTTACAAATCCTTAAATCCATTTGATGGAAATTTCATGTGAGAAAGTTTTGGGTGAAAGACTGAAAGTCCTAATTGGTTTCCTTCAATATTCTCTTAACCCTAGCTAGTATCACCAGTAAAATTGATGTTTGCTTCATAAACAAGTACACTCAATGATTCATGAATTCCTTGAAAAGAACTCGTAGTAACAAATGTACATTATGTATTTAATTGGCTTTTGAGCTAACTCATCAAGGCCTAGTTATCATACTCAGAAGTAGGGTCTCATGGTGAGATGTGCGTAGATCTTACCTCAACCTCACGGAAGAAAGATTCTTTTACTGATAGAACCATCATCAAAGACTGAGAAAGTAATGTGAATATGTTTAAGAATGTAGAAAGAAAGCATGAGATTAGGCAACAGCATCAAAGCTTTGACCCCAAGTAATTTGTGGTCAATTAGGAAAAAAAGAAGCAAACATGGATCATGGAAACAAATAGCCAAGGCAATAACATTACAACATCAGGCAAGGAGGCCCAACAACCCTCACATGCAACCCTTGTAAGGATTCTTCTCTCATAAGATGTGTATCCGACGTCATTTGTGGTCTTGCTCTCATATTCTTTACCTCAACCGCAACACTATCCATCATTCTCACTGGTTTTACCACATCTCTGTGGCGAACATGGTTAATCTACCACATATTCTCCTATTTTATCATTAATAGGTGCAGCCCCTATTCTAAACTGAAAGAACATATTCATTATCCTGTTGAATATGGTATGCCCACATGCCCCTAGCACCACCCTCATCTTTAGAACTTCGAACTTATGCTCATGTGCTTCTTTACTCACCAAAATTGTTCACTCTCAGTCATGTACATCATAGCTGGTCTACATAGTTGTGAAAAGCGCGCTTGAGGCGCGATGCGCACGAAGCGCCAGGGGGAGTGCATCGCCAGCCTTGATGCACGCGCAGTTCATGAGGCGCGCGCCTCACTGTGCCTCTTTGCATTATGCGCAGTGCCTTGATGCGCAAAAAGGCGCGCCTTGTGAACATCTGCGCCTTTAAATTTGTAACCGTCTTTATCTTACCCATCTTTAATGTGGTCATTAAATCATGTTGATTGCTCAAGACGCCTTCCATCAAAGCATCTATAGACCATGGAGTCTCATAAGAATTAAAACCAAAGGGAATCAGTTGTGGGTTGTGATCCTCCGTGCTATCCACAAGTTTGACATTTATTTGAAAGAGAAATAAATTTAGCCACAATTCCTTGTCTTAGAAGGAAAGTGTGATCTTTATTTAGGAATCAGGATAACTAGAGAATTTTTTTATTGAATAAAAACAATATTTAGTATTCCTAGTTAAAGCAAAACTTAGGGAAATTACTGAATACTTTTTTAGCAATGTAATTCCATTCCGTAGAAGTTTTTGGGATCCAAACACTGTAATTTTATTCACCAGTGATCTGTGGGTTTGCAGACTGCTGCTTGGTCTTGCTCTTGGGATGTTAACAACCCATGCTACATATATGCTGGTTTACAGGTCCCAACCACTCAACAATCCATAGTTATCCTCAACAAAAAAAAAAGTGTCTATGACCTGTGATTTTTCTAAATGTGCAATTCTTGCAGAATGGAATGGTGATGGAGTTTGATAGGCGCCAAACTATGAGACCTGTGGAATGCATCAATGGCTTTGCAGTCAATCCCATTCATACTATGCACTCTATCTTAACCCATCCAGAATCTAGCTCTGGTTCAAGAAGAAGCATTTTAAGTGCATCTTCAGTAGGCCTATGCCAGTGGAACTTTGGTTGTTATGAGGAAAGGTAACGCTTTTCAAGCTTTGTCTATTTTGATAAAATTTTCTCCCTTGCACTTCTTGTGGTTAGCTTCAAAACGTTTTAGGGTTTAATAATTTGTTGTATGCTGATGGAGTATTTCCAAATCTTTCTACTGAAGGCCGCATATAATTCCTCAATCAGATAATCATGGAGTGTGTATTTCTCTTGCCTATGCACCAAGTACTAGTGACATTGTTGCTTCGTTTCGTCCTAAAGTGGTGATGTCAGGCGACATAGGAGTTGCTGCTTCACAAACGATGCTTTCTCCTTCCTCTTCTCTCACAGAGCAGGCTGTACAAGGTTCCCATGTTGTCTACCGGATACAAAGCAACAGCTACCACAAGGTAGGCGTTTCTTGTGCAAATGTAAGCGGCATCCGTTTACCAAAGTCCACCATAATAGAAAGTGACACTACGGAGAAGGCTCTGTTTGCTTGTGGGGATGAAGCGTCGTGTGAACTTGTTCTGCAAGAGTTGCCATCCCTAAAAGACGTAATGCGTGTCCAAGCTCCTAGAAATCCTGTTTGCGATGTGAAGTACACAAATGCCTTGGGTTCAGGAGGACTGTTGAGCTGTTTGCGCCAGGACAGTGTGCAACTTTTTTCGGCTAGAGCTTCATGAAGAAAAAGGTACTTGATCTGTTTATGTGGCTAGATTCATTACTGCATTGCACTTATAAATTCATGATGCTTTGTGTGTATCCAAACATATCACTATTTCTTTCAACCTTTGTACGTTTCTGGCAGGCGCAGATTTACACTCGTGTGAAGAGGGACACTGCCCCCTTTCCTCGCCGCCACCACCACCACAAATTGTGAAATTTATAGTCGTGCACCGAAGTGGAAAAGTAAAAGCCGAGGAGTAAATAGTCTGGAATGGCATAGGAGTATAGGACCAACAGTGATGGTGTGGTTATATAAATTGGTCCTGGCTGGCATTGCTTCTTGATGTTGTTACCTGCTCATGGAGAAATTTTAGTGAGGGTGTGGTTAATTTAATACCTCTGGTATGAATGCTATACTTAACACAAATAAAATCATTAGGCTTGTATTTTGAAATGTTATACAAGTATTTCGTAATTGAGACGTTTATATATGTAACTTGGTTTTTAGGTAATTTTCTGTTTTATTATTATTATTATTATTATTGTTGTTGTTGTTGTTGTTGTTATTATTATTATTATTATTACTATTATTATTATTATTATTATTGAACCTAGGCAAGCTTTTAATAAAATGCAATCTCCCAAAGAAAGGAGAAAGAATACAAGGCCCTCATGCTAACTCATCTTACGAATGCACAATTTGCTTACCAAAAGTAGAAAGATATTCAAACCTTAAAGCAACACAAACTTTAATAAAGGATGACACCCCATAGCCTGGATAGTATGTCTGAGAGGAGGTAAATTAGTGATCAATAAGGAATGAGATTTGTCCCTAATGCCAACAAAAGATGTTTATGTAAAGTATAAATCATCTCACACTTGCCTTCACTAGGAGTCAATCTTGACTATTACATCATTTCACACCCCTTGCCAATTGGCCATTACGTCCTTTCGCTACTAGCCTACCAATAGAGACTTTAATATTTTCACTAATCCTCACAAGGTCATAGTCAATGCTTTGAAAAACTCTCTTATTTATAACATTCCAAACCTAGTAGAGTTGGGTACTAAAGTTGCAAGTGAGTAAGTTCTTTCTCACATTGGGTTTGTTTGAGGGCAACTTTTTATACCTTTGCAAAGAAGTTTGGGTGTATTTGGTTTACTTGAGACATTCTTGAATCTCTACCTGGTACATTTCTAGTGTAGTCGCAAATCACAATTGATGAATAAATGGTCGCATGTCTTATCATCTTTAGCACAAAGCACACACATGGTGTTCATATCATATAAGAATTTGACTAATGTCATTATTCTTAATATCATGTAAGAATTTGATTAATGATATTTGACATGTGCCAAACCAATGCCTGGGAATTGGTTTCGCCCGAAGCAAATACCAAGTACTTTAAGAGGAAAATCTAACAACTTTAGTATAAAATGTACTACTTGGTTTGCAGATAAGACCTAAGTAAGATTTAAGAGAACTTTGATGGACTTATTCTCTTGACACAATCTTCTCAAATACTAGTATTGATTACACATTAAAGTTGGTAATTCTAGATAGTAAGCCATTTAAATGATGCATGTGGAGTCATTTTACTAATCCAAACACTCTCCTTGTTTGCCCATGTAGTAGCCTACATAGATTTTGGTCTTTTAACCTTGTAGTAGATTTTTTTTGAAATGTGTTTGAACCATTTAACGATCCCAAAAAAAAGTTTCTACAAATTTGAGGTAGAATTAGGATGGACTAGAATTGATTTTTTCGTTCTTAGGAAAAACAACAATAACAACTCAATTCGTTCGGGGAAAAAACATAGTTCCAAAAATAATTTCAAGGGCGTAGTTATTCAAATGTATTTTGCGCATGCGAAGTAAAAGATATTTGCATTGGTTGGTGTAAAGGGTGTACTTATCCAAATGTGTTTTTGGAGTGAGTGAAGTTAAAGAAATATGCACTTTCAGAGTAGGATTCAACAAGTTTATTACTCCGTAAAAAGTTAGCTCTGAAGTGGTACTTGATGGGGTGGGATCCTCTATACCAATTCCTCTATCCCACTCCCCTATCCCATAGTTGATGTACCGCCACATGTCCATTTTAATTTTCTCCTTTTTTTTATTGTTTTGCTCCAATGCCCCCAAATCCAACCCCCTCCCCCTCTCACCCCTATTCAATTATAAAGGTAAACAAATTTTTTAAAAAAAACACATAAAATATATTCCAGCTTTATAGTCCAAATGAAATTAAAGCTTTGTTTCAAATAATAATAAATGAAATAAGAATAATATTTATGTTGAAAAGTATTATAATTCCATAGTTAGAAATATAAAAATAAGCTTTTATTTCATTTGGAGTATAATTTTATTTTTTAACATTTGTTTGTACACCTTGGTTCCTATGACATTGGATTTGACTCCAAAGTCAAAATCGACTTGTGGGGTGCAATTGAAGGGGGTGGGGGGGTGTGTTCGGGTTGGGGCGGGGTAGGGGGGTTTACCGGGGGGGTTAGGGGGTAGGAACCGTCAATTTTACGAATGGGGCACCGGAGCGCCCCCGGGTCATCCCATGACATTGGTTCCCAATGTCATGGGAACCTACCCCTTGTTTGTATTAATATTTGAATACTATTTAATATTTACATTGAAAAACATTAATTAAGAAATACTACCTCCCTCCCCAAATAAACTTCCTTTATTGACTTTTTGGAAAATTAAGGGAGAATATTTTGGTGTTGACTTTTCAAAAATACCCTTGATGTGATGGATAAAAGTAACTTGTGATAGATAGATTATTAGTAAAATGGTATGATGTGATACCATTTTTTAAGTTTTTTGAAAAGTAATTTTTTTATAGAAAAGAGAAGTTTTTTTTGGGGCAAAGAAAAAATGATAGGGGAAGTTTATTTGGGGACGGGGGGAGTAGAACATAAAATAACAAGGCTCTAATTTCATTTGGAGTAGAATACTTTTTATGTCTTTATTTTTTTAAAGATCTGTTTGATTTAAAAAAAATTATGTGATTTTTCATATTATTCTTATTGCAATTATTACTACTCCATATTATTTCATTATAATAATTAAATAACTATAAAAAATTACCAAAGTTTATAGTTGTTTTTTTTAAAATTTGTTTGCATTTATAATTGAATAAGAGTGAGAGGGGGAGAGGGTTGGATTAGGGGGGCATTGGAGCAAAACAAAAAAAAAGAAAAAAAAGAGAAAATAAAAGTGGACATGTGGCGGTACATCAACTATGGGATAGAGGAGTGAGATAGAGGAATTGGTATAGAGGATCCCACCCCGTATTTGATATACTTATTCTCGGTGGGTACAATTTTTTCTATTACCGACATGCATCATGTTTAAGTTGATAAATCTAGACAATAAATCCTTTTAAATGATGCATATGAAGTTATCTCAAAGATTCTCCTTGTTCATAATAGTAGCTCACTATCTCGCATATATTTGAGCTCAGCTAGACAATAATTCTTTAGATTTCATTAATACTTAATAAAATCTTAAAACGATTTGAATACAAGATAAAGAGTATGAGCACACCACACGATGACCACACCACATAAAAATAAGGAGTATGAACACATCAACACATTGAATCAACTTATTAAATACTAAATCAGAAACGAGTGAAGAATCATGGATTTAGCTCTTTCACTCTTGATTTAGTTGTTTGTGAAATGCTGCATGTATCTATATAAATCGAATAAATTGTAGTATAATCAATAGTACGATTTATATCTGGTTTTACAAAAGTTAAAAGTGCAAAAAATTTAGAAAAATGTTAGAATGTAAAAGAGTTTCCGACCTGCCGGATTCGAACCAGCGACCTAAGGATGACTTTGGAGTGGCCCACTACAGTCCTCCGCTCTACCAACTGAGCTAAGGTCGGATTTGTCTTCCATTATAAGCCTAAATAGCTAATGTTTCTAAGTTTTGCAATTAAATTTTTAACCGAAATTTTCATTGTACAAAGACAATAACCGAAATATTTTTTTTTTTTCAAATTTTTTAAAATATGTTAAATTAGAAAATAAAATTCTTAATGAGACGAAAGAAATACTACGAATTTCGTGTGATAGAATGTCAAACAATAATACAAACACACTACCTTTACGTTTTTTAAGTAAAGCTTGTGTTAAATTACTAAAATATCTAAATTCATTCACCCAAAAACAAATGATTAATGGGCACGCCTTTGACTATAATGACATTAGAAATGATGAACATTGACAATTTGTATTTGCTTTAATTTGTGGTTTAGTGGTATTATATTCAAGAGGGAATAACCACTATATTACTCGTATTTGGCTTCTTTTAAAAAGTCTAAGCTTACAATTTCTCCACTTCCAAAAAAGTAATCATAACTAATGTACCCATTTTTACCAAAATAAAAAATTGAGTCACATCTCCGAGGGCTCCTTCAGACTCGGTCGTTCGATCAGTGAGACAAGATAAATTATTATTTAATCACAAATTAACTGGTGACAAAGAATGGAGCATGTACCTGTAGATACCTTATCATAATTACCTCCCACCGCAGTTGCGTGAAATCGAACTCGAGTCTTACCCTTTAGCACTCATTGCTTTTGCCAACTGCGCAATGCCCGGTGACTATTTTACCAATATCAAATGACTCTATGTTGTTAAATTATGAACTAAAAACATTGTGTTCAGAAATGACCAATGCATGTTCCAAATGGACGACTGCACAACTGCACAAGGTCTCCCACTATTATATTACACCATCTTTGTATCATACTCCCTCTGTCCCAAAAAGTTTTTCATGTTTATTATTACGGTCTCTCAATAACTCTTATTTGTTTGCGTGTTTTCATGATCATTTGATAAAATACAATATTCTTGTCACCTCTTATTTTGTAGAGTTTTCGATGTAGTTTTTAAATATAATTTTTTTATGTGTTATTTCCTTACCAATTTGTAAATAAAATCATTTTAAAATCTACGGGATTTTGCACGTTAATCAAAGTAGGAATTTTTTTTGGGACGGAGGGAATATTAAATTGTATATTTCGGTTTATAAATATTTCATGAAGTTATTTTCAAGTCAATTTATTAAAATTTAAAAATAGTATACTAAAAAATTCACGGTATAAAAAACATTTATTGAGTTACTCTTTTTTTATAAACATTCTAAAAGAATTGTGAACATAAGAGAGAACTTGCAAGGTGACAACACAAGGAACTGAAGGAAGGAAATTAGGCGTTCTTTGCCTATTTGGTAAAACCACCCGCTACCACCTTACAAACGGAATAGTCCCGGCCTACTATTTTGCAATAAACAAAAATGGTAGAGAGTCTTTTCCAAACATAATTTGCGCTCAAGCACCACATGTAATTACATGCGCAACCACACTTCTATGTTTAAAACATTGAGTGATTGTTTCCGGTTGAACCATGATGTCGTCAAAGTTACATTGACTAACTGATACTTTAGTATATTAAAAGAAGCGTAGACAATTTAAGAGTCATTTTGCTTTATTCCAGTATACCTCAAAGTCAAAAAATAGTAAATCTTTGGTTTCATCGGAGAAGATGAAATTTGATCCCTAATTAAATAAAGATTGTGTTGTATACTAATTGCTCCCTTGCTCCAAATAATTTTTGTGTTTACAACCTCATTCTCACGTTGTCTAATTAGTCCATTCTTATTTTTAATAGAAAAATAATGCTCTCCATGCACGCAAGCGTACACACATAATTAGCTCAATATAAAGTCCTAATTTAACACATTTTATCATTGTTTGGGAAAAAATATTTCAATTATTGATAGTATTCTAGATAATTTTTTAACCATATAGATTAATTTTAAAAATATTATAGTTAAACATTACAGTAGATAAAGTTTTCAAGATGTTTAAGCTGAACGCCTAAACTTTTGCCAAACGTGCACTCTAAAAGTCATATGAATCTTTTTATGTGATATATAAATATTTACTTTTGTACCAATAAATGTTTACTTAATATTAAGAAATTCGACGGGATTCTTATGACATTAAAATTCCATGTTATGGGATAACTCGGGGGCATTCCGGTGTCCCATTTGCAAAATTGACGGTTCCTACCCTCCCTAACCATCCAGTAAACCCCTCTCCCACCCTGACCCGAATATACCTCCACCCCCATCAATTGCAATACACAAGTTAATTTTGATTTTGGAGTTAACTTGTGGAGTGTGTAATTGAAGGAAGTGTGTGTTCGGGTCGAGGTGGGTGGGAGGGTTTACCGAGAGAGTTAGAGGGAGCAAGACTGTCAATTTTACAAATGAGACATCTAAGCACCTCAGGTCATCTCATGACATGACTCAAACAATGTCACGTGAACCATCCCGTAACAAATTTGGTAACAAATTTGGTGTATTTATTCTTTGGGTAGCAACCTTCCTCCGTACAACTGCATAAGGAAAAGAAACAGAATATTTATAAATAAATACAAATATTTCAGCCGTCGAATTCTTCCATTGCTCTTCAGCAGATCAACGTCAGGTAAATTTGCTGTTCTAAACACTGTTAATTTTTGAGTTCTTCAATTCGCATTTGCACATGAAAAGTCTCTTGTTTTGCTTTTGTATGACCAATTGGTCAAATCAAACGGCTTTCTTCAATTTGCCGTTCATGTTTTTCTTCACTTCCGGTTGAATCCGCAGATTTGTTCAGTCGCAGTACGACGACTAGAATTGCATGTTTTGTTTTTTTCATTATTGAGGTTATTAGATGGATTGATCTCTGGGAAATTGGTGATGTAATTTTGTGCAGAAGGAAATCAATTTGTATACCTTAGGAGATGGAGATTGATAGAGCAATCAAAGAGTGTGACGATCGAAGGCTAAAAACCAAGTACAACAATGCTATTTATGTGATTAAAAGAGCTCTTGCTCTGTATTCGTAAGCTTCATTCCCGAGATTCATATGATTTGGTGTTTTATTTCTTCAGTTTTTGTATCATATACTATGGTTAAATAGCGGTTATGATCTCCGGATTCTCCGCTTGCTAATTATTCGATGATATAAAATTTGCAAGTTCTTATTCTTCTTCTTTGGTAATATGAATAGTGTAGAAGAAGTTGCATTGAGCTTCAATGGAGGGAAAGATTCTACTGTATGCTCTTTACAAGCCTGTTGTTGTCTTAAAAGTTAATACACAGTCTAGTACTCCAGGGTGATTTATTTTCCTTACTGTTTCTTTGTAGGTTTTGTTCCACCTGCTTAGGGCGGGCTATTACTTGCACGAAAGTGAGAAATGTCATTCCAATGGGGATCTTGGTTATGGTGATATGCCATTTCCGATAAGGACAATATATTTTGAGAGCCCATCTGCTTTTCCGGAAATTAACTCTTTCACTTATGAAATTGCAGCAACGTACGTGAGGGGAATGATATGTTTCTAGTTGTATTTCGCCTTTATACAGTTCTATATGTTTCTGGTGAAGTAATTCATGACCATCATATACTACTTGTAACTCTCTTAATGTGATCCCTCTTGTCCAAGCAGTTACAATTTGACAATGGATATTATTCGCCTAGATTTCAAATCTGGTTTGGAGACTCTACTTAAGGCTAATCCAATTAAAGCTATTTTTCTAGGTGTTCGAATTGGTGATCCTACTGCGGTATGAAAACTCCTTATAGATCTCTACTTTCTCAATTATCCTTAGGTTTTCCGTGAAAATGATTTATCACCAACGTCTGTGTAAATATACCATCTATTGCATCAACCTTTCAGGTAGGTCAGGAGCAATTCTCACCCAGCTCACCTGGCTGGCCATCCTTCATGAGGGTGAATCCAATTTTGGATTGGTCTTATAGGTAAGTTTAGCTCTGCTTTATAAGCTCTTTATGTATATGAGAGAGAAGCTGGCGGAAGTTTATCTGTTGCAAAACAACAGATAAACTCTTTCAGGTGCATACTAGTGTTGAATGAGCTCTTTATTTATCTGTTGGTTTTCACTTTTCATTGATTGTGCTTGAGCTGGGGGTCTCTTGACTCTTCTGGAAATAGCCTCTCTGCTTTTGAGTGGTGATAAGGTCTACATACACACACCCTCCCTATTCTAGACCCTACTTTTTGTGGGATTTTCCTGGGTTTGTTGTTGATGTTTTAAATAAATGGATAGCAAAACAACATTCCCAATTAAATAAATTTTATGATACATATGGAGTAGTTAATTAAGTCGACTTTAGGATATCAATATTCTTGTAATGAGCATGACAATATCAAATATCTATACGGCTATACGCATCACCATCCCTTTGATCTTTTTCAAGCTAGTGAAAATAACCTATCACCTATGAATCTATGATGATGATGCGGATCATTTCATTATTTCTTTGTGAGAAGGAAGTAGGTTGACAGGATGAACTAACAATTTTTTTGCATGAGTTTATATGTTTATATTGTTAACTAATTTTGGACATCTAATTAGTACTATAGATTTCATGTCACCAACCTTACCTAGTCGGGACTTGGGATTAAGGTGTTGATGATAAACTGTTTGGGCATATATGAGAATTAAAAATAGTTTAGGGTTCATAACTTTATAAAACTTGTGCATGAAACTAAATGTGTTGTCGACTTTTGTATTAACAAGGGTTCTGACTGGTGCAGATCAAAGTGTACTTTCTGTGCTCAAATATTCTAGAAAATATACAATACTTTCCATGTGCGAGAAATGAATTCATTACTAGCAATGCACTATATGTCCTTATTAGCATAGCAGGCATATTATTCCAACCTGTTTATATTATATGAAAATGGTAATTTTGAAATCCAAGAGGCACCATCACCTCTACTACAATTTGCTGTATGGCCGTGCTTCCTTCACTTTTTTCTTTCCAAACAAACAGTTCCATTTTTTAGTTTTAAGGATGTTTGGAATTTGACAAATTGTTGTGTATCCATTCCATAATAGCTTTCATATCTGGTTTTGATTTGGATTTCTGGAAACTGATAAATAATTTGTTCGTGCTGAAATTTGGCAGAGATGTATGGGCTTTCCTATTGACTTGTAAAGTTCCCTATTGCAGCCTTTATGACCAAGGGTAATTTTTCCCTTATTTTAGCTTTGGAACACATCACAGTTAATTACGACCAAAATTTGATCATTTTCTATCATACTCTACCTGTCCTAAAAAGAAGGTCCTGGGTTTACTTTCATGGAGTTGAAGAAAAAGTGAAATTGTATGGCGGAGGTTTATGAAGAGGAGAGAAATAACGTGAACTCCACATTTCTTTCTTTGAATGAAATGATACATTAATTTTGGGACGTCCAAATAAGGAAAACAAGATATTTTTTCAGGGATGGAGGGAGTATCTTTTTGTAATTCTTATCAATATATATGTTTAGTTTTGCCCATTGCCAATGGTGCTAAAAGAGTTAGTTTTGACAATATTTTAGTTTTGGGTAAATAATGGAGTGCTTTTCATGCTTCAGACTTTCTGTGAAGTTTTGGACAGTAAACGCAACACGCACTAGGTCTAGTGAAAACAACCTCTCAGTTTTTTTACAGGGATACGGTTGTATTACTTGTATACATCTTGACCCCAAACCCCCAGTGGAGTTGGGATTTTACTGAGTTTGTTACTGTTATGATTATACATGTTTCAAATTCTTGTGACACTTTCTTTTTTATTTTTTTCTGATCCATCAAGGTAATTCAAACATGCTTTTGTGCTCATTATATTTCAGGTATACGTCCATTGGTAGCATCCATGACACTGTACCCAATGAATTGCTTTGCGTCAACCATTCTGACAATAATGGAGAAAAATTCAAACCTGCATATTTACTCCAAGATGGAAGGTTGGAAAGAGCTGGAAGAGTGAAGAAATATTCTTCCCCAGTATCTGCTAAACACCCCTGTCTTAGCAATGGTTTTAAAAGTGAAGATTCAAACAGGAAAGTCGTATTAACTGCCTCAATAGTTGGTGTTGGTGATGAGGTTTTGTAAGTCATTTTTAGCATCCTCGGCTCTCATACCGTGTAATCCTTGAGAAGTCTCTTGGATATATTTCTAGTGACTTTTTCTATTATTATTGGATGCTATTCCACTCTTTGGCTTAACCAAGTATTGGTTTGATTTTTACGTTCAACGTAGCTACAATGTATTCCCAAAATAAAGAAGTTTTTTCTTTCACTAATTTGCTTATAATCAGGGTCAGTCGGAAGCTAAATAAAGGGTAGGCTGAGATTTTTACTCAGTAATGTCTTTTTGGCTGAACGATGACCTGCATCAAAATCGTTTGTATTTTAAACGAAGGCATCTGGTGTAATTAAAATTACTACTCCGTATTTTATTTAAGGTGGCTTATTCCATATATTTCTCTTGGTTTCATAGCTCAGATTTGGCAATGTTGAGGACAAGTTGGGTTCTTCATTGTGCAAAAAGCTCCATTCAATTGGTTGGGCTGTCTCTCATCTTGCTGTCACTCGTAATGATGTGAGTAGGTTGTATTAGTATGTTGTAATAATAGTTTTTAGGTTAAAGTAATAAATTTTGTAGCCAATTGATCCCAACTTTTGTTATTTCTAAATTCAGGTAGATTCTGTTTCTGAGGAAGTGGAGAGGAGAAAATCTACAAATGATATGGTTTATATAGATTTCCTTCTCTTTAGTTTTGTCTTTGGTTGTCACCAATTTTTCTGTTAGAACTTCATTTTGTTACTGCTCTGTTCTTGACACTGCAGGTGTTCATCTATGGAGGGGTTGGGCCCTTGCCTTCAGATGTTACTGTAGCAGGAGTTGCAAAAGCTTTTGGTGTCCGTTTGGTGCGCAATAGTTCTTTTTTACTAAATAGTTGGATTACACATTTCTTTACTTGAAAGATGAAGTCTTTTCAAGAGATCGATTTAAATGCTATTTGTTGTCCTAACATATTAAGTGACCTATTTCATGCTCCGGTTGCAGGCTCCTGATGAAGAATTTGAAGAATATCTGAGGCATATCATTGGCGAAAAATGCACTGGGGATAAGAATGAGGTTGTGCCATATGAAAAATTGAAATGATTTTTGGTTTCAACATAATTTGTCCTTCATGTCTACTCCCTAAAAAGTCCACTTTAACCAGACATTGAGTTTTAAAGAAGTGTTGAAAAGTAAAAAGTGTGTGATTGAAATTGATTTGAAAGAGAGAAATAACGATGACCACATATTTCTTACCAGATTAGAAATTGGACTTTTATTTTGGGACTGATGAAAAGGAAAGTGTGTTTATTTTTAGATGGAGGGAGTACTTCATGTCTTCTCTTTGTTGAATAATCAACTTACAAATACTATGACCATTTGTGACTTAAAATTTAGCCAAAATGCTAGAATAGCCTGAATGATATAAAATGTATTAAAAACTATTTTCATGGTTGTAAGTAAATAATATCTAAACGAAGATGGTAGAAATTTCATTTCCCTCTTTTCCAGGAGAAAATTTAACTCCAACACTTTTATATTATTATAGGCCGATTCAACAGGCACATTCAAGTTGGTGTTTTGTAGAAAGTTTCTGATCCGGAAATCTGGTTAAAATGGCATATAAGAAAAGAATGAGTGCCACCAAACATGCTTTATTCATGCAGACATAAAGACACTGACATATAATAGGGGAATAAATGCTTATTTAAGAAATGAAAATTATGACAGATCTAGTGACCATGTGTCACATTGAATGTGACATAAGGCTTGTGTTTGAAGTTGGCGGTATGATTATCAGTTCTTTGAGTAATTGTGCCGCTAACCCCAGCTAGTTGGGGTTAAGGTAGTGCTGCTGCTAATGATGATTTGAAACACATCTCTATTTCCTATTCCAGATGGCACAGCTGCCTGAGGGTATTACGGAATTGCTGCATCATGATCTATTGGAGGTTCCTTTGGTATGTTGGCCACCGTTGTGTATAAGATGATTGTGGTTTTCTGGTATTCATGCTCTATTTGGCTTGGATTGCACATAATTTTTTTTAAAAAAAACAAACTGGTGGACAATTAAATATTATTTATTTCTCCTTCAAAGGGTACTTAGGTTCAATTTGGAATCTGAAGAAGAAAACTTTAACAAGTACCACATACATTTTAGTAAAGCAGTATGAACTTAAATGCTTGTTTGGCTTTTTTACTGGTTTCTATGAAGTATTTAGCTATTTTATTAAGTTTCCTAGAATATTTCATAAAGATATTTTTTTCATTCTTGTGGCTAGTTCTTGGATTATTTGGAAGATTAAAAATTACTACGTATTTAATGTTTAATGACATTGAAACTTTTTATGGATGGGTTAGATTAGGAGGGTAGGTCTCTTCTCATTGTGAGTTTGTGAGACTATTGTGAGATGAAAATAGTTTTTGTTAAAAATAATTAATTGCAGCTTATACTTATTACTCTTGTCCACAAAAATGAGTCTTGTTTTTATTAAAGAAATGTATCAGAAAGAAGTTACTCCGTAAATATTTTACATTTAGTTAAAGTGTTAAACCAACAAATAAATTCTGTAGCTATAATTGATTATGTCCAATAGGTATACTACTTATACCGTACTGAAATTGTAAGATCTAAAAGTTGTACCTTGATGAAGAAAGACTCTTAATGGGAAGGAGGAGTATTTTTTTATCAACTAAATATATTGTTGGAGTTCAAGAAATGTTGGTGAGAAGGAACGTTCTTTCTTTTCTGTGTTTTGACCTCCTCCTTTACGTTTAAATTTGTACATGGGCTGGTACACCCTTGAGACCTTTTTTGTTGCTCAAAACACCCTCTGTCCCGTTCAGCATGTTATATCTTTTATTGGTTGATATTTTATAATCTAGTTTTTAATGCATCTCCGCTACACCTCATGGCCGTTATGGGGGTTCTTTGTAAATTGTAGTTACACCATCGGTCTATGTTATGCCGATCATTCCATTGGGAAGTAGTTGGTTATCATTGTTATTTTTATATTATTGTTTTCACTTATTGTTATTGTTCTGTGTCCATTAAATTTCGATTGTCAGGTAATGTCTTTGTCTTGTGCAGATCAAATGCCATAATGTGATCATTCTCAATGCATCAAATGTCACTGAACTGGACAAGCAATGGGATTGTTTAATTAAATTGACAAAATCTCATGGTCTCTTTGCGTTAGCGGACCCATTTGTTTCGAAACAATTGGAAACAACTCTTTTGGACGTGAGTTAAACAAAATCTCATACTCATATTTTTAATTTCAGCCATTTCCTCTTCCTTTTATTATTATCAATGGTTTATGTATATTATGTGCTGTCTCCCAGTTTTTTAAAGAAAAGTATGCATACAGATTCTGTCATCCCCTCTTGAATATGGCCATTTTAGCTTAGAAATGCTTCATGTTCTCTCTAGTAGGATTTGTAATTGTAATACTCCCTCCATCCTGAAACTGATTACACTTTTTTTGGGACCTATCTCTTAATAACTTTTATTTGTTTGTGTGTTTTCATTGATTATTTGATAAAATAAAACATTCTTGGAACCTCTTGTTTTTGTAGAACTTTCGATGTAGTTTTTTAACATGTAAATTTTATTAATTATTTTTATTCCAATATTTAAATAAATTGATTTTATAAAATGCGGGGTTTTGCCTCGTAAATGGGAAATTATAATCTAATTTGGGACGTAGGGAGTATCTGTTTGGTAAGAGAAGTGGATAAGCTAGGCGATAGCTTTTAATCTCATAGCCCATAAGCTATCTGCCCATCTGATAGACACCCAATAACTCATGTGTTAGTTAGGAGCTTACAGCATACTCCTTATAATATACTCCGTAGTTGATATCAATAAAGATGTGCACCAACCTTTACATCAAGTTTTACAGGGACATCATTTCTGTGTGCCCAAACACTAACAAACATGAAACAAAAGGCAAATCTATAATGTGGGACCGTGGGAAAAAAACTGATGTTGGTATACATCGTGGTGTAAAAGTTGGTGTAAATAAATTATTTTTTATTATTTCAATATTAGTGTTTGGAAAAATATGTGATAAGCTTGCTTAGGAGTTTAAACACCAACAACTCCCAATGTAATCCAATTCCGTTGGGTCTGGCAGTCAAGATGTATTCCACCTTACCCCTATAAAACAAAATTCTCTTTCCTATAGACCCCTGATGTACTGTTGGCTGTTGTATTTTCTATCCAATCCTTTATAGGATGTACTAGTTTAGCAATTCAAAATGACACAAAAATATGTTTACAATAATAAAGTGGAGTTATACATGAAAAGCTTATGAAGCTAGTTCCTTAATCTATTCAAAGAAGCTTATGAAATAAGCTTGATCTCATAAAACAAATTCCTCATTGTTAGCTTATGGCTTGCCAAACATAACCTAACAGTCTTTAGAAACTAAAACTATGTTTGGTTCAAGGAGTTTGGAAAGAAAAGAAAAGAAAATGATTTTCTCACACTTTCCTCCACTTTCCTCATTAAAATGGAAGGAATTTGGTTTTCCCTCCTTTTAATACATTTTGCCTTCTTAATATCTTTTCCTCCCACTTTTCCTTTCTTTTCCTTTCTAACCAAACAATAAAATCAGTTTTTCCACTTCATTTTGTTTTCTATTCCCTTTCAAATTCCTTGAACCAAACATAGGGTAAGTATTTCTGCAAATTATACTGTACTGAGCAAAGGCAAGAAGTTAACAATTAACATACCATATAATGCAGATGGAAGTTGCTCAACCTTTGTCAAAGTTGTGTCTTCAGTTTCCAGACATTTACATCGGTAAGGATGTTTCTGTATTGTGTTGTGCTATGAAATGTGTAAACTATATATCAATGTAAATGTACCTCTGTCTTCAATTAAAATTAAACAAACCATTTGTTTGATTCATGATTTCGTGGACGATCAGGTGGGTATCGAAAATCAAGGCAAGGCCATCTTGTGATTAGACTCGAAGGGAAGGCAAGTATTTGTTTTTACATTTTTTTCTTCAAAATACGAATCCTCCACATTCAATTGAACCAAACATTTCTATTAACCATCTTCATTGCCCCTTCTCCTCTTTGAACCAAACAAGGGCTCAAATCCCATTGGACCCTTTTATGAGTTTATCTGCATCTCCGCTTTGTTTTTGCTGTTCCCTGAACTATTTCCTCCACCATTTCTTTTTGAACATTGGGGGACATAGATGAGACAGAAATTGATGGGCTCGGTCGGGCCCAACAAGCCAAGGGCCCAGAAGTTGCTGAGGCCCTTTTACATCGGGATGTCTAGATTGATGTCGTTTTGGGATTTCTGCAGGATAGAAAGCGGATAGAAGCGACCGCACGAGAATTGTGCCAGAATTTCCCACCAGGTTCATTCTCCAGCGTAGATTGAGTTCGAGTCGGGTTTGAAATCAACTCTTTCACAGTCAGTAACCATTCCAACACACCAATAGCTTACTTGAAGGACATTGGGAGATGGGAGGGAAAACAAAAAGGAAAATAGAGACACCATTAATTACAATGAAACTTCACATATACTACAAATTTTGCAAGAGCTTCCAGACTCTATTTTTCTACTCTGGGAAGTATTTGCTAACTCTGATGAAATAATAAGTTAGAATGATGAAACCTCGAAGTAGGCCAAATGCCAGGTATTTATGTGACCATTCTTCCACAATATTGGAAAATACCAAATTACGTTTTAGATTTTTAGCTACAGAAAAAGACCTTTGGGCCCTCAAATAAGTCATGAACCTTGTGAAGAAAGGAATTATATTTCTGGAAAAAATAATACGGAGTACTCCCTAATTTATGAACACTTTCCGGGATTAAGAGTTCCTATTAAAATAATATCATGTTCAATTAGATCAAATAAAGTTCAATCGAAATTGCATAAAACTAAGTGCCTAAAATGGAGTTGCGACTATAAGAGATTAATTTCACAAAACTGAAAAAATATAAGGACTAAAATGAGAAAATATCTTTGACACCCATACAAGTTACAAGAGAAAAAAATCATTTTGATGGTTTAAGTATTGACCAAAATCACTTGATACTCATCTATTTTCCAAGATCAATAATGATCTATAAAATACTACGTATCACATTGATCAATTTGGTCTCTCATGTATACCGACAGATCGATTGTCTTGTTACTAAATTTAATTAATCCAATTTTAATGGTGAAAGCTAGTCATTTGCGTATAAAAAGGAACATAGAATAATATAAAGGAAAATTTTAAAAACAAATACTCCGTATTAATTACTTTTTTATATAAAAAGTTTCGTGAAATTGGACTCTTTTTTCTCTTAGAGCTTTATTAAAAAAAAATCCAACCTATTGATTTTCCAAAAAAAAACGGTAATGTACTACTCCCTCCGTCCCGCAAAAAACTTCCTATTTTGACTTTTAAAGAATTTAAGGAGAGTGTATTTTGGTATTAACTTTCCAAAAAGTCTATGTGATTGGTAGATTAATAGAGAAAAAGTATGATGTGATTGGTAGGTTAAGAATTATTAAGGGTAAAAGTAACTTTTTAATAGATTAAGGGAAGAGTTTTTTAGGACGGATGAAAAGGAAAAGAAGAAAAGTTTTGTGGGATAGAGGAAGCATATTTTTACTCACTCTAATACTCCCTCCGTCCTAAAACTTTCTTCCCGGTTCGCAAAACGAAGAAAAATCCCAAGTTTTTTCAATCTATTTTATTTAAATATTGGTATATAAATAAAAAATAAAACATACATATTTAAAAACTACATCAAAAGTTCAACAAAACAAGTGGTGACAAGAATATTTTATTTTATCATATAGGCCATGAAAAAACACAAATAAATATAAATTCCCGTGAAGTTTGAATAGTGCTCTGGGAAGAAAGTTTTAGGACGGAGGGAGTATTTTTATTTTGAAGGATTTATTTACACCCTCTAATTGATTTGCCCGTGACTTTGGACTGCTTGGGAATAACGATTAGTGTTGTACTTTGGAAAAAATTTTAACAATGTGGATAACTTTGAAAATGGTAACGCCAAAAGCTATCTGTAGATTACCTTTCCAAAGCGCAAAAATTAATCTCTAACATTATTCCGATCCGAAAAGGACAAAACTATTTGTACTCCAAAAATTTGTACCTCATTTTGTACACTGCAGAAATGCACCAACATTTTGTGTTGGTGTAATGCTAATTTTTGTTAACGCATCAACAATTTGTTCCAATGTAAATTTTTGTTAACGCACCAACAATTTGTGTCAATGTAAATTTTTATTAAAGCACCAACACTTTCTGATAGTGTGAACCAAATTCAAAATGTTGGTGAATTACAAATGGGGCCTTCCTGAAAAATGCTTTATGTCACTCATTCTTAAGAAAACAGCAATGGACTGCAATTGATTCAAAATTCAAATTGACGGCTAGCATTCCTTTCGCCGTCTCCTCCTGTGGCGGAGGAGGTGGGGTTCTTCGGCGTCAATAATAAGTGGTCGTCCTAGTGCCGGCAATTCCGATTCTTCCCCGGCGGCACCTAATCTGTTCGAGCTCCGGCGACTCGGCGACTCGGCAATCGGCCGTTTCATTCTTCCAGACAACCCTCGCGCTCAGACCCCCGATCTCTACGGATGCTCAGGTTTGCCTATTTGTACCAAAATCATCAAAGGCTGTCCATTTTATCGAATTTTCAGGCTTAAATCTTCATGTTCTTGCGCTGTGTTGTTTTATTTGTCCATTATTAATCTCTATTTTATCTTTAATTGATAATTATTTATCGCGCTTAGCAATGTTAGCATTTGTATAAAGGTTTAGTGCTCAGACCTAACCATATTTATTCAAAACTAGATTGGAAATTATACAAAATAACATCTAAATATCCTATTAGCTTGGTTCCCACTTCCCATAATGAAAAGCAAGCTAATTTCATGTTTTTTTTTGTATTTTTACACTTATACTCTTCAAATTTGATATAATTTTGAAAGCAAATAACTAAATCTGAACGAAGAGATTATTTATTACGGAATATTTTATGCATAGTAATATAGTATATCTTAAATTTTAAATTTGTAACTGCTCTTTTTTTAAATTTTTGAATTAAGGTTTTAAATAAATACTCTGTATGTTGTTTACATTGTCATCACGCACATAGTCATTGTCTATGAGACACTTGTGGTGTCAATCTTGGTGTCATTTGTGATATGACTATAGCATTCCCCGATAGATTTTTGTTCTTTCTGATTCGTAGCGCTCATCACTGCACAACTGGGAATATAACATTGAAGGAGAAGCGGGATGGATCAGAATGGCAAAGAAGAGAAGCAAAAGTTACCCAATTGTAGTGTTATTACAGCCGTTAACGATGACAGCCTAAAGGACATTTTTCACCAAATCAGAACTTCCAAAACCACTGTTAGTATATGTTCTTCAATCTTCCCCCCTCAACTTTCTCTAGATTCATAAATGCTTGCTGAATTCCAGTTTCAAAAATGTTCTTACAGGCAGTTATTAACTACGGCGCATCTTGGTATGTTCAAAACTTCCATAAAGGTTCCTTTTTTTAAGTAGTTTTTTTGTTAATGCTTTAAGCCCTTACGAGGCGATCACATACCAACACTAGCAACTAGACTAACATGTTTCTAGAACACATTCTTCTGCGGCATGTTTGGGAACTGGAATTTGGATTTCAAATATGGACTTGGCTCAAATTCTATGTTTGGAAATCGTAAAAAAATTGGGTTTGGATTTAAGACAAATTCCTCTAGTGCATTACAAACCTCAATTGCAAATTTATGTCTTCCCTTTTCATTTGAAATTCCAGACTTCAAATTTTGAATTTGAAATACAAGAATTAAAATAAAATGCTAGTTCCCAAATGAAGATTTCAAACAATTATTTTCCTGTGTTTGGTTTAAACATAAGGGTTGTGGGAAAATATGAGAAAGGGAATGTGCCATTGATTTGCTTCTTCCTTTTTCAGGTGCCATGTTTGCAGCCAGATACTCCCTGCATTTTGTGACCTGAGTGCCAAATTCCCCAAACTGTCCTTTGTGTACGCTGACATCGACGAGTGTCCGGAGACGACTCAGCATGTCCGGTACACGCCGACTTTTCATTTCTACCGAGATGGCGAGCGGGTGGACGAGATGTTCGGTGCCGGCGAAGAGAGGCTGCATGACAGGCTGTGGTTGCACTCTTAAAAGGCAGAGGGCAGTGTAATCATAAAATATATGCCCAAAGAAGCTCTCATCTATCTTAGAAGATGTTTGATATACTTTTTTTATGTTAAATGGACAACTTTGCCATTAAAAGTTGGTTTGCATCTAAGCTTCCTCTTTTTGTATTTTTAAGGGTAAAATTGTCAATTTCTTCCAAAATGGGAATGAATTGTAAACCTCATTAGAGTTTATGTTCCTATCAGTTAATGAAATAGGGATTGTTGGGTTTATGGAATTGTTTAATATCTACGGAGTATCACTTTTTAGAGCTAAAAGCAGGTGGCCAAACACCTATATCCGTCATTGTTTGTTTTTGTTTACCTAATTCTAACGATTATGTATAAGACTAGAGCTAACATTAAGGATTTATGACCGCTAACATATAGGATCAAATTTCATTCATTTGATGAAATAATATAATCACATCATATTTTTAAGAGTTTTTTATGCAATTTCTAAATATGTAAATTTTATTATTTTAATTTCACCCTAATTCTCATTTAAATCACCTTGAAGAAACTTCAATCACACTAAAATTATACTACTCTAAGCCTTTTCCACTAGATAAGACATCGTAAACCAAAATACGCAATTTAAATTGAGTCAAAGAGTGAAACAATACTTTTTTAAGAAGTTATTTCAGGATAAATCTAAACCAAAAATGACAGATTGACAGTTTCCATAAAAGAAAGAACACCCAACAGCAGAAGTTTAACTCAAATGAATGTATTTGCCATTCAAAAGTGTTAAGTTCATAACAACTGAAGAAAACCACTTCCACAAACAACAATTGAAGCTAAGTACAATCAAAACAAAACCCCCAAAGAAACCCCCCAAGTAATTGCATCAGTATCATATGATAAACAACTCAAACTAAACAACACATAAACCCCGGAAGAGAAATTATAAAGTGGAACAACAAATCATATCAGAGACCTTTCTAGATCCTTCTACATCTCATATCCCCTTCTCGTCCCTCTCCCCGGAGCCTCGAATGTGAAAATTAGATGTAAAAGCGCTCCGAAATCGTAACACGTTTATTCGTCCGCAACCAGAAAGCACAAATGGCTGCATCAAATGGCAGAAGAAGAAGAAGAAGAAGAAGAAAATTTTATGTGGTTTGTGGTTTCAAAGAGCTTCAAGCTTTGGGCTTGAGGATCTTGACTGTCTCCCAGGTGAAGTCAGGATCCTCACGCCCAAAGTGACCGTAGGCAGCGGTCTTCTGGTACCGGAAGTTGCCGCCTCTCTTCAGGTCAAGGTTGATGGTGATCATGCCGGGCCTGAAATCAAAATTCTCCTTGATGAGAACCAATATGTCCTTATCCGGGATCTTCCCCGTCTTGTACGTGTCAACAAACACCGAGAGCGGTTCGGCAACCCCAATGGCGTACGAGACCTGGACGAGGCACCGTCGGGCGAGTCCCGAGGCAACCACGCTCTTCGCCGCCTGCCTCACGATGTAGGCCCCGCTCCTGTCCACCTTGGTGGGGTCCTTCCCTGAGAAGGCGCCACCGCCGTGGGCCCCCCACCCGCCGTAGGTGTCGATGATGATCTTCCGTCCCGTGAGCCCCGCGTCTCCGTGGGGACCGCCGATCACGAACCGGCCCGATGGGTTGAGGTGGAAGATGGTCTTGTCGTCGAGATACTCTGCAGGGACGACCGGTTTGATGACGTGCTCTTTCAGCTCGGCGGCGATCCGCTCGTTCGTCACGGTCTCGTCATGTTGGGTCGAGATGAGGACGGTGTGGACCCTGAGGGGCACCATGGCACCATTGTCATTCCTATACTCAACGGTGACTTGGGTCTTACCATCAGGCCTGAGCCATGGGCAAGTATTGTTCTTTCTTACCTCGGTGAGTTTAGCACCCAGCTTGGTAGCAAGGACATGAGTGAGAGGCATGAGCTCGGGCGTCTCATCTGTGGCATAACCAAACATGTGTCCTTGATCACCAGCCCCGATATCTTCGGGTTTCTTGGTGAAATGACCATGGACTCCCTGGGCAATGTCAGGGCTCTGCTGCTCAATGTTCACAAGAACCTTGCAGTTGTCAGCATCAAGACCAACATCTGGAGAGGTAAACCCAATGCCACGGCAAGTGCTGCGAACTATCTTCTCGTAATCAACCTTTGCCTTTGTTGTGATCTCTCCAAACACCATGACCATGTTCGTCTTTGTACATGTCTCGCAGGCGACCTTGCTGTCGGGATCTTGTTCGAGGCATGCATCCAGGATGGCATCTGAGACTTGGTCACAAAGCTTGTCTGGGTGACCTTCATTGACAGACTCTGATGTGAACAAGAAGGTTTCCATTTTCTATCCACACAAAAAAAAATGAGTCAGAGTTGAATCTGAAATATGAATCTAGGTAAAATGTTGTTGAATGCGTCAGAGATCTTTCCATTTCATAGGCTTTGTATAATAGAAATAAAGAAACAAAATGAGTTTGAACAGACATCAGATATTATTACAACGAAGTTTAAACATATCCCACTAATAATTGATGTTCAAGATTCACAAATAAACAATGGTATTCCATTCATGCATCACCTTGGAAGTTGGAATACACCCCCCACATTTCCACATTCGGATTCAAGATCCCAATGGAGATCAGAGCAAATTAGATAATTTTCTCAAAGAAAAATAAAACCAAACACATAACAGACAAGGAGTGAAGGAACACGTCGAAAGCTTATTCAATCCTTAGCCTCAAACTCAGCCCTCATTAACAATGTAGCCATGGTGTCAATGGAGCAGCACATCAATAAGATGTTAGGTGACCTATACGGCTATACCTATATAAAATTCAAATCCATTACCAACTTAATTGATGAAAGGCCTGGAGACATTGGTCCAGATCCGTGATCCGACTCAAATCTCTACCTTTTCTTACTATACTCATCTTCTCAATAGAGCTCTAAGCTCCATCAATGGCTGACATACACCCTCACATGGTACTGCGGGAAAAAATCTAAAGATTTTTAACGATTTGATTTCCACCTAAACACTTCATATCACGCCGTATTCGTTAAATGTAGTAATCGTATCACTCTACGGTGGATTTACCAATATTCTTAACTATGGATTGATCAATTATCCATCGCAACTCAGAACACAACAGATCCAATTCAAAAACAACAAACAAACATTAGCATTGGCCGAATCAAAGTTCCAATCTTCAAACTATGAAATAACAATCTCAATGCAATGAACACACGATTCACAAAACAACAACGCAATCGCATTACGAAGATCCGGATCCAGCATTATAATCTAACGAGAATTTAAGCAAACATTGCTCGATCTGATTAGCGCGTACCTGAGGGGAGGAACGAAATCTGGATCTGAAGCGAAAGAGGAAAGAAGAAGAAGAAGAAAGTTATGGTCAGAGCTGCAAATGAATGGGGGTTGAATGTATATATATACACATACAAAAGTCCCTCCGTATATCGTAGCGAGTTTGAAGGGCCGTGAGAGTGACTCGCTCCGAGCATCGCGTTGGGCGGTTGATGGCTTATTTGCATATGCTGCCAATTAATTTTCTCAATTTTATTTTAAAAAAAATATTGAAAAGTAATAAAAAAAATTACTATAGTACGTTAAAATTTGATGAAAGAAAAAGGGAAAGTTTATAGACTATATATTCTTTATGGAGTATTCCATTTTTTAATAAAAAAATAAAGTGGAATACTCCCTCTGTCCTAAAACTTTCTTTTCACTTCCCCTTTTTCTCCGTCCTAAAACTACCTTCCCATTAGGAAAAAAAAGATGACAAATGACATTAATACCCTCATGTATTTACACCAATTATCTTCTAACTCTATATTTTGAATGATTGCAAACAAAAATTCAAAAAATCTTTTTTAAGGAGGGTAAAATTTGAAGTCAAAGCCAAAAATTAAAAATGGGGAAAAGTCAAACTAAAAAGAAAATTTTAGGACGGAGGGAGTAATTGTTTTGGGACAGTAAAAAAGTGAGTCAATTGATTTGAGATGATAGAAGTAATAAAAGAAAAAATGTTGAACCCCAACCCCCGGTACCAACTCGAACCCTAGGCTGAAAGAATGTAGAGACACTTATAATCTTAATATAGTTGAAAAAATGGAGTTCGTTTGAAGTTAGTACAAAAAAAATCATCATAAATAGAAGTAAAACATAAAGAATATACCAAAATGAAATCTTCATGCTTTTATATCCAAAATACGAGATTGTGCTATAGTAATGTGGCATTGTGTATAAAATTTTCATAATACTTTTTTCCGTTTTGATAATATATATGGTATTGATATTGTATGAATTCTAACTCATATTTTGAAAAGACATTATTTCAATATTTTACTCGCACTTGGCTTTAGTGTGGGGAGGGGTGGTTGTTGGATCTGTCTTTTAGTGCACAATTTGGAGATAGTCTCTCTTCTTGTTGTTTGGTAAAAGTCACTTTCCTTGAAGATGGGAACATGTTGCACTTTCATTAGCTGCGGTGTTTGGTGTACCTATCATTTTGTTGGATTTTCCTCATTATTAAAAATCCAAGCGTCCCTTAAAAATCTAGTTTTTTAATGATATTTATTCTATTATAATGTAATATTTTTAATAAGTGTAACGTGCAAAGATCCAACATTTCCGTTTCAGTGGGGTTCGAACCTAAGTGAACTTTCTCATGAATTCTAGAGAATGAACTTCCTACCACTCAAACCAATATTCATTTGAAATAAGTAAGAAATTTTTTTTCTTGAATAATCTTTTTGAAAGTGGAAAGTATAATATTTTTATGTGTCTCAAAAAGAAAATGATGACTATTACTTCGGGACAAAATAGAATTGGAAATAAAGTGAGCTTTTCGTTGTGTTTATAAACTGGTCAAAACTGATTAAAAGCTATTTTAATTTATAAATTAGCTGGTGACATATTTTATGTGACTAAAAACTGACTAATAAACTGTGTATAAGTCAAGAAAGATAAATAGGTTTTACTTACTTGTCTCTAGACCTGTTTTTCGTTCTTTCGTTTTAACGAGATTATTTACAAAAAAAAATTCATAGTTTATGAATATCCCCAAATGATCTCTCATTTAATTTATTCTATAACAATTTTTTTCATATCAACAATAAACGAATAAACACGTGAAAAACACCCCCCCAATTCCCCCAAAATATCAAACATTTGGGCCGAGGCATCTGGCGTTTTCCACAATGAATTTTATTTTTCAAGGATTCGGAGCTGGAAGGCCATCATGTTTTCTTAGGCCCATTACTGCCAGCCCGAAATGAGGGCCCACTACTTCTTTGCTGTTTATTAAAATGGAATTGAAGTTTACGATGAGAAATTTTCACGAACTATTGCCAGCTTACTTTGGGCCGAACCGTATGAGCCCACAATTGCGTATTGTTTACAGTTGTGTTATTTCTGGGCCGGAGAACTTAGCCCCAAACTTCTGCTCCCTTTGTAGAGACATGATATAGGCATGGGCTGGGCCGAGAAGAAGGAACCCTAACCAGAACTAGTCAATCAAGTGGTCCGTTTAGTTCAATTTATTTTTTCAATTTATTACTTATTTTTATTAAAATCAAATTAAACCAAATCAGACAAAATATGTTTTACATAAAACAACAATCAGATTTTACAAAAACTTCAAAAAATCAGATCAAACGAACAGAACACAACTTAATTGATTTAATATTGTTTACTCTTATTAGTCTTATGACCCAATCTAACGATCTTTACAATATCATACGTAGTACTCCGTAATATACTCCCTCCGTCCCTTTAAACATGAGATGTTTTGATTTTGAAGAGATTTAATTAAGGAGAGTGTATTTTGGTATTGAATTTCCAAAATTGTCCTTTGATGTGATGGGTAAAAGTAGAATTTGATGGTAGATTATTAGTAAAAAGATATGATGTGATAGGTAGGGTATAAAAAAGTAAGGGGTAAAAGTGACTTTTTAATAGAAAATAAGAAGTGTTTTTTTGGGACGAATGAAAAAAGAAAGGAGAAAGGTTTTCAGGGACAGTGAGAGTATATCATAGTGTCAGAGTTGGTTTTCATTTGTCAAGAAACACATATTGACCAATTCTCTGCATGGCATGAAATACATATTGATATTATAGTAGATTAATTACATTATTTATAAATTAGTGTTTTTATTAATATTCTATACTTAGTCTAGTTCTGGGTTTAGTACGTGCCCGAGCCCATTAGAAAGAATTATGGAGACAATCAGAAAGAATTATATCAAAGACCCTAATTATATGTTGCCTCTGGCACACGTCGCGTGTAATGGTGCAACTCTCTTCTCTTCCTTCACCTTCCCTTATGGAGTTCGAAGACGCTCAAAATTCTTTTCTATTCGATAAATATTCGTATCACATATTCACCGGCAAGTGACCCATTTAACATAATTGTTATGAGAATCCATTTGCAAATTGCAATTGACTTTATTAAAGAAATGTTCAAATGCAAAAAGTTGAATGGATATGGTTGGAATTTAGTTTGAAGAGTGAGAATGATTTTGAGTCATATTTTATTCCTAAATTTAAAAATAAAGCGTGAAACTTAATCATGTTATATTAGCTAGAACTATTGAAAAAAGATTGTGAATCTTTTTGGTGATGCTGTAAATACTCAAAAATATATTTACAAAAAATAAATAAATCATAGAGTTCAAAAGGATAATGGTTTTGATTTACTTGCCGGCTGGTTGACGGCAACCTTTGCTCCTGTGCTAAAAATTTGACTGCATGCACTAACTTATTAGCAGCCTCCAAAGTTTTTGTACGTACAGTTAACATGGGACATTATTGTTGACGATGACTGAGCTTTCTTTGTTTTTTTTGTTTGTTTTTGGTTACTAATATTGATGAGCTTTTATATGTACTTGGGATTGAGATAAGAAGCTATTTGTGTCTTTTTCCTTCCCGATGGATAAATGAAAAGTCAATTATCGTGTACAGTAATTCTATTTTAACAGTCTTGGATATGCATGTTTGGATAAACTTGACTCGGTCTTTTGTTGCACGAGGACTAATAAGTTTGAAATATTGAGTGGTCTTTATTGGTGAGTTTTTGTTAAAGAATAAAATTAAACAATAAGATCATTATATGTACTTACATATGGGATGGATGCTTTCTTTGGGAATAACATTTTCAATTACTGATAATATTTTGGATAAAATTTTAATGGTGTTGACTAATTCTAAAAACGTTAACGCTAAAGGTTATTGTCATATAACTTTTTTCAAACACTAAATTCTAACTTTGATCCAAAACTGGGTCGAAATAAATACGATCTTAGCTTACTCGATCTATTCATTCTTAAATAATTATTATAAAGGGTTGATAATGGTGACTCCATTCGTTTCTAAAATTTGTGACATTGAGATCAATGGTATCCCATGACGTGAGCCTCCTAAGAGATTTTTTGGTAAAATTGATAGTTCATACTTCAGCTCCAGCCTCCAGCCGCCCCCATCTCAATTACTGATTGCCTGATTAGTTACAATCAGCGCTGTAACTAACCGGCAGAAGGGAGGGAGGGCATAAGGGAGGGGGTGAGGGAGGATATAGAGGGTTAGGGGGTGGAGGACGAAATCATCAATTTTATCAACGAAAGATTGTAGAAGTCTCGAGTCATGCTATGACATTCAAACTAAGAAATACGCTCAAATTTAGGTGAACTTTCTATAAATTTTAGGAATGGACTTCCTACCATTCAAGCTAAAAAATAAGTTTATAATTTGTGAATTATTAGGGAGTTTGGTCAGTGGTGTCACATCAAACGAGGTCATGGAGGCAACTATATTAAGCATATGACTTCTGCAAGTACTAGATGTAGGTTTCACTTTATGTTACCAGCCTGTGATCAAAATTCAATTTATTGCCTCTCAGTGACTATCCAGCCGGATCTGAGAGAATCTCCGGATGGGACTCATCCTTTTTTTAACAAACGAGGCAAAAAAGAATACCAATACCTATAGATCCATTTCTTAGCCAAAAAAATACTACCTCCGTCCCATTGTCTTTGTCCACTTTTGACTTTTGGAACTGTTCATCTAAGCACTTTGACTCATCAAATTCTCTTAATGTGTAAGCCTAAAAATAATCATGTGTGATCTTGTTTGATTCGTCTTAACATACAGATTATTAATATATAATTTGTATAATTTTTTAATATACAATTTACAAGATAAAATGAATTAAAGAAGTGCATTGGATGGTGTGCCAAAAGGTAAGTGGACAAAGACAGTGGGACGGAGGGAGTATTAAAAACCGTTCAAGTTGAACTTTCTATATTGGGCTTGGGTTGGGTAAAATGTCACCGCAAGAGGTTGGGCTTTTGTTTGCACAATTCAGTTGATCAAGTCGTGTGAGTCAAAACTGCGAGGGCAACTCGATCGA